CTGGGTCAAACGTATCAACTATGTCCGGGCAATCATAGACGTCAACTTGCATCGCAGCCAGCTCGTGGTCAGTCATGACGACAGACACTTTGTAACCGCATTCTTTACGTATGTCATACTGAATGATATCGTCTGATACCAAGGGATATAAGCCAGCTACAGTCTTCATACCGTTGTGTAGATTAACGTAGATGTCCCTGTAGTCGGTTTCAAATTGGAATATTCTGGCGTTGTAGGTGTTTGGGGGTTCCACGTGGAACAATATGGTTACATAGAGATCCGTTCCCTCGATATTGTATACCAATGATCCTTCAGGTTTTCCATCTTTTTTCTCTTGATCAAACTCGAGGATAGTGGCTTTCCTGGGGCCGATTCTCTTCGGTGGAATTGCTTTCATTTTTGATGCTTTAGTATACACTACCGGGCCCACCAAGGCTTTTGTGTCCAAGAAATTACGTATGGTCACAATGCAAGTGCGAGTAACGGACTCCTGAAAATTTAACATTTGAAATGTAAAAGAAGTTAACGAGTACAAGATAATTAAGGAATTTTCTTATGGTAGATTACTTTCGCAGAACCATTTCTTTTCCATGCCGAAAAAATAAGATGGTAATCGAATCCTGCTACTTAGCCCGTATTAATTCATCAAAAATGAAAACGAAACATTTGATCGCACACACAAACACAGAGAGAGAGAGAGAGAGAGAAAGAGAGAAAGAGAGAAACTCAATCAAACACTTACAGGCAAAATACTAAATATTTGGTTAACGAGTTCAAATCCTGCCTGTATAACAGAAATGACCGTGCCGATAACCGATACGGCCCTCTCGGCACGTAAATTGACATCGTCTATTTGTGAAGTGTTTCCCAATTCTTCTTCTATAGTAAAGAAGTGTGAAGAATTTTGGTCTACAGCATCACCAGATAAAATACCGTCAGCAGTGGCTTCGCTGAACTGGATGAAAAGCAAAACAGAGATGACCGTGGATATAATCCTGAAACCCATGCTGGACTAATTTAAACTGACCGCACCTTACATTCGATTTGTCGCGGTAAGTATACACAGCTTGTCTGGAGAGACTTGATGGAGTGACTCCAAATTGATCCGCCTCCCACTTTTGTGCAAAACAAACATTACGACCGAAGATAATTTTATTTACGTCTTGTGACCTCAATAGTCTGAGTGGTGGGAGAGTGACACCGCCTTGACGATCACCATGATAACCATCTGAACCGAATTAAGGTACACATGATACTCATACATTGCACACGCTCAACTGCAAATTACTTTGTCATAATTCTTTTGAAAGCAAAAATTTCAAGAAAAGGGTTACACGTAAAAAGTAAAATAACTATATAAACCAAACCTCTCTCTTGGTTTGTAACAGTTAAATTGTTTAGGTTGCACGAATGCTAATGCATTTGACAAGGTGATTCCCTATTGATCTGTCTACTTCTTTCGTGGAAAAACAAACAGGAAAGATAATTTTATTTGCGTTTTGTGATATCTATGCCGTCTGTGGTTGGAGTGGCAACGAATTTATAATCTTCCAATTCATCTCGTACAATTCATCTGCCCATGGGTCCCCCATGTTACTTAGCGCACTACCCCTGGGGTATTATAGTATGATGCGATCTCCATATGCTCCGCATTAAAATCTCTCCTATATAAGCTTGACCTCTATACGTTATAATGATACTCATTTGTGTATATGTAACATTTCTGCTATTTTAGAACGTTGCAGATAGTTGCATGTGTTCATAATTTGATTGTACCTTATTTGTAAAGATGTACATGTGTATCAATAAAGTAGATATACAGTCGTATATTTTATAGGTAATTAATATTATAGCATGCATATGTACATGAATTTAAAGTTTTTTTCAGAATTTTTTGTTGCATTGAACGTAAGAGCTCATTCAGAACAGCGGACTATCAATCAGAACCTCGGATTAAATATGGCGACCGCCTAAAAAGCTTGCCGCTTAATTCCCGATTAGACACTGAATAGGTTCCGCGCGTGGATAGGGCAACAAGCAGTCTAGTGGGTCGGTCATATTTGAGCCGTGAATCTGTCAGCCCGCTGTTCTAAATGCGCTCTAAGTGAACAGCTTTATTATTAATAAGTGACAGGTCTTTAGATATACATGTAGAATATAGCAGACTTATGAATAACTTTTACGTATGTTCTTTTTGTTTACATCAACTACATGTGTTCTCCTGTCCGTGTACAAGAAGGGGGGTGTTTTCTATTTCGTCAGAAAAAAATAATACAAAAATAAAATAAATAAGAAAAAAATAATAAAACGGCCGTCATACATGTAGGTATGAAGAACTTGAAGGGAAGCCAGATCTAGATATTTACAATGGTTATGTCTCTGTCATCCTACTCATGGAAAAACGAACCAAGACAGTAGCCTGTTCTCGAATGGCATGAGTCACATGTATTTACATTTAATCAACCCAACAGGTGTATACATACAAAGCGTTGAAAAATCAAAAAGGTAAGAGACCCATAATCGGTTTAGTAGTGGACGGGAGAGAACGGTGTTCTACTACCAATAAGATAATCACCATCGGGAAAATGGCCGTGCCGGAGAGAATTTTTGTAATATTAGATTAAGAAACAAAGGAACATTTCGGTATCATCATTTTCTAAGGTTCGTAAGGTTTGACATGTCCAATAGCATAGCTTGAACGAAAAGTTAAAGCGTCAGTGTGCGTATGTTGGGGGGGGGGGGGGGGGGATGATAAGGGAAACCCATCATTCCTTTTTTTTCTGATGGGGATATCAAACTTTACAGTATTACGCAGTTGTAGTCTTATACAGTCCTGCATATCTCGTTATTTCATCGTTCTTTTATCCACGTTTAATTTGGCCAAATGCGTGGATTGTAATGACTTATTTATTAAGAAAAAAAAACAATAATAAATAGAATATGGACTTACTTTGAATGTCGGAACGGATTCATTAAACATTGGTTAAATTGTTGTTTACCCAAAAAATCTGTTTTTGACCAAAGTGAACAGTTAACTTGTTATCCTTTTAGGAGCATATTTGCACAAAAACAGGTAACAAGCCTGTAAACATGTAAAGCGCAATCTTATCTTCCACTTGGCCCTGGGTTACGAGTTATTCAACAGTACTTGACTTTTCCCCACCACTTCAACCTTTATATGCTGAGTGCATAGTGCAGAGACAGCCAGGATCTGTGAAACCCATATGACCCAGCCGTGAATTGAACCTTGTAGAGCCGCATTTTGCAACCGACCGCATTTTGCAACCGGTTGCAAAATGCGTTCCGTTGCAAAATGCGGTCCTACTAAGTAGAGCCGGATTTTGCAACTGAACGCATTTTGCAACTGCAACGCATTTTGCAACCAAAGAAAATCATGAAAACGAATTTTGCAACTGCAACGCATTTTGCAACCAGGATTTTTTTATATGTTCCTAAAACAGTTTGAAGTACGAAACAGGTAGAATTGGAGTGGGGACGGGTTTGCTTCGACTAGGTACGCTGAAACTGGTCAGGTTGCCTCTAGGGCGGGGAAAATATATAATCTATTTCTCATTGTAATTTCTTACACCATTAGAGTTAGGAAGTTGAAACGTCAGGGAATAATAAAGATATTGTTAGGCATGTATACATAGGGGTGTGGCCGTCCCTAGGGGTGGTTGATTGTAATTTTACATTGTATTTTCTGTTATCTACCCTTATATCTTTAGAATTATGAAATAAAAGCGTTGGGGATTAATACACCATCGTAAGAAATGTGATGTGCGTGGGCACTTAAGATTTTTTGTGGTTTGGGGTGTAGTTGTCCCTGGGGGTGGTTGAGATCGTAAGAGATGTGCTCGGGCACATGGGAATGAGTTGGACCGACCCAGCCAGTAGGATGTGTGAATCTGAAAGCGGTCTTCGAGTTAAGAAGGAAGGGGAATGCAAAGAAAGCAGCAGCCAGCACTTAATAACAGACCTTCGGGTTATGCTTGAATGTAGGTCAAGTTAATTAAAAACCCATGCAAGACCCCATATACTTTCAGGAATTCTTGTGCATAGCCTCTGTGTAGCAACACACATGCTAATTACTATTTATGATTAATTAACATGTTTGTTTTGTATTTAGAGTTAGATTTAGAGTTAGCTAGTTGAACGCCAGGATTTCTGAGTGTGTAGGGCCTTATGGTTGGCATGGGTCAAACGGACAGCTTTAACTGGATTCCTTGACCTATATTCCTGCCTACGACTGTAAGTCCATTTAGTGCTATGTGCGCTGCTGCTGTTCTCTACATTCCTCAAAGACCCATGTACATTCATGAAAAGTGACTGGTTTATCAATCCCCAACGTTTCATGTTCCTAACTCTAAGGGTAGATAGTAGAAATAACGGTGCAAAAAACAGAATCAACCACCCCCAGGGACGGCCACACCCATCAAAAACCCGGAAGGATTCATACATATCCCTAAAGACATGTTTTCAATCCCAATAGCCGTCCGTTCCTAAGTTATATGGTCTAAAGGTAGATATCATAAAGTTTAAATTTATAAATTTTCCTCTTCTGTTTGTTTTTCCACGAAAGAAGTCGACAGATCAATAGGGAGTCACCTTGTCAAGTGCATTAGTATCCAGGCAAACTGTGCATTTTATTTATGACAAACCAAGAGTAAGGGTTGGTTTATTCAAGTACGTACAATATGGATTTCGGGTTAATGTCAATGATCATTTTCTTTTTGTGTGCAGTCCTTTTCTTGGAATGTTTTTTTTTATGACGGATTTATGACAAAGTAATTTGCAGTTGAGCGTGTGCAATGTATGAGTATGATGTGTACCTTAATTCGGTTCAGATGGTTATCATGGTGATCGTCAAGGCGGTGCCACTCTCCCACCACTCAGACTATTGAGGTCACAAGACGTAATAAAATTATCTTCGGTCGTAATGTTTGTTTTGCACAAAAGTGGGAGGCGGATCAATTTGGAGTCACTCCATCAATTCTCCAAAGACAAGCTGCGTATACGTACCGCGACAAACCGAAAGTAAGGTGTGGTTAGTTTAAATTTGTCCAGCATGGGTTTCAGGATTATATCCACGGTCATTTCTGTTTTGCTTTTCATCCAGTACAGGGTAGCCACTGCTGACGATTTTTTATCTGGTGATGCTGTAGACCAAAATTCTTCACACTTCTTTACTATAGAAGAAGAACTGGTAGACACCTTGCCAATAGAGAACGTCAATTTACGTGCCGAGAGGGATGCAGCGGTTGTCGGTACGGTCATTACTGTTGAAAACGCAAAACTGGACATTATTAACACCATCTTTGATAGTTTGCCCGTAAGTGTTTTTAGTCTCTCTCTCTCTTGTTTGTTTATGTGATTTTGTGTATTTTAATACTTTAAAGTTCTTCATGCTATCAAATGTTCCAACTTCATTTTGGATAACTTAAATTGGGTTAAAGTACAGGCTTCAATTATTTCGGCATGAAAAGGAAAAAGTATTGCAACAGTTATTCTTGATTTGATGTCTATTCGTTCGGTGCATGGTCATATGGTCATACTTTAACGCCATTTACAAAAGTCGATTTTAAGTCGATTTTAAACCAGTTATTTCGAAAATATCACTAAGTTTTCACATTTTTTTTTCAAAATATGCTTACTAATTTCATTAAAACAATAAAGCAGTTTTGCTATAGTGAAGATTTACATGTACAAATACCCTTTTGAAAAAGAGATAAATGTTGACAATATATATCACTATCCTTTTTTCCACAATTATTTCATCAATGGCGGATAAAATACGGCACAGCAGGCACATGCTACCGCCATCTTTCTCTGCCCCTCCCCCTAACAGACATAAGCGAAAGAAAAGTGACAAAACCAAGAATTTCCCTCGTCTTCTTGCCTGTGCGATCATGCAAAGCAATATCTGTAAACCTTTGCACCCCCCTTCATTATCATAATTCAGGATTTGCCGGAGCTCGTTAACTTCAGTTCTTTTACATTGATTTTCTCCAAATTCTATGTTTTAGGAGGGCATTATTCGCACGCAAATTGTGACCATACGTAATTTCCTGGACACAAAAGCCTTGGTGGATCCAATTGTATATGTAAGATCATCAAAAACGAAAGCAATTCCACCGAAGAGAATCGGTCCAGGGGAAGCCACTATCCTTGAGTTTGATCAAGCCCAAAAAGGTGCAGAGCCTGAAGGATCAATGGTATACAATATCGAGGGAACGGACCTCTATGTAACCATATTTTTCCACGTGGTACCCCCAAACACCTACAACGCCAGAATATTCCGATTTAAAGCCAAGTACTCGGACATATATAAAGCCCTACACAACAGAATGAAGACCGTATCTCACTTATACCCCTTGGCAGCAGACGACACCACACAATTCGTCATTCGTCAAGAATGTGGTTACAAAGTGTCTGTCGCCATGACTGACCACGAGAGGGCTACGATGCAAGTTGACGTCTATGAATGCCCGGATCCTATTGACCAGACTGTCCTAGTCGTGGCCAATGAAACCGCTACCAAAGCTATAGTCGACCCCCTGACATGTAAGCCTACTGATCTAATAAAATGTGGGTGTTGCACGAACGTCCGCTTATCGGGATCTCGCTCAAGCGCTAACTCCCTTTTCTTTTTTCCAGTAATATCTACAAATATGTTCTTTTCAATCTTTTTTGCGATGTTCTACGGTATTCCACGAGATTTTGACCTTTAATCGGATTGATCCAGGTTTATTTTCGAACTTACAAGTAAAATGCAGACTGGTTACATCTAATTATCTCTTTGAATGTTGTTTTTAAATTGTAGTGTGTTTTCCATGTAGATCTACAGTTGATTGATTTGTTTCTCCAGAACAATGACATGGAACACGTTTATGCTTTTTAGACTTCATAAACTGCAAACAGTCAGTAGACATTTTGACGGTGTGTTATAAACACTACATAATATTGGAACGACTGGATGTACAATTTAAATTCAAATATGGCATCTTAAAGAAACTGATTTAAAGATTATTAAACCAAAGTGAAATTAACAATCTTCTACTTTTTTATCATAACTTTGCTTATTAGAGAATTTTAGTTATAAATCAATATCTTCAAATAGAAGCTTATCTCATTTGAAATAATTAAACTTTTTTTTTTTGCAAACTCATATTATTTGACATCTTTTGCATTTGTCATAATCCCAAACTATTTGTTTTACAAAGGCGTTTTCTTTTTTCGACTTAACTACATCTTATGTCCACATTGATCTATCGGAACGTCAAAGTTGATCTCCAAAAGCTCGGTAAACTCCAGAACGCCCACGAGGAATCACATGGACATATGACGCGGTTCGGGTTTCCAAATGCTTTGCTCATAGTTCCGTTTGATGCAATATCAAATGACGCTCCATCTTAATTCCAAACTACTTTTGTGTTCGAGCACTCCTGTTCTCCAATGCCTGCTCATGATCATGTAGAAATTAACCAGACATATCCATTTGACAGTCGTAGGTTTAAAAAATTACTCTCTGAGGCCGATATGACCTCCGATTTGTTTTCGGCGTACAGGTAGCCTTCACCGCGGAAACCGTGCTGAATGTTACGGCTTCTTTCGCTGAGATCGAAATGACCGCCGACCAGTATCTGGGCCCTGCTGGGTATTTTTTTTTGTGTTACGGAAGGACATTTGACACTTCAAATGGAAATATTTAAAAAAGTAAAAAAGTTACAAGGTCCATTTTTTGTATGTTCATTCCTCTATATATAAGTTATAATTAGGCAAAAAACAAGGTTAAAAAAATTATGGTTACGAAAAAATTATAATAAATAGTTAGCGTCTCGGAAGGACGTGAAATGGACATGGAATTTTAACTTTCAACTTCAACAGCAAAATTCTGCTCTGTCTGTGGAGATATTTTTAAAGTCAAACCAAAATATGAATATTTGATTATTTTACTTTCTAAATATGTAAAAAAAATTTTTTTTGGAAAAAAAATATAAATTTGAAAATTTTGCATATAAAAAAATCAAGTAGACGTTACAGAAGGACGCGTCTCGGAAGGACGTTTTGTCCATAGCTAAATAAAATGTAAAAGAAGGCCAAAAATAATATTTTATGAATACATACCAGCATAAGTTTGATGAATAATATCAAAGGTAAACATGTCTTTCCATGGTAGTATGTTTCATCTTCAAACATGCTATAATTTTTGACTATAATATAAGTCCTCATCTGCTCTCATCATCTTTAAATAATATTGGGACATTTAAGAGAAAATCTTACCAAATTTATTAATTATAAATATAATCAATTGTCTAAATTATAATAACTTCAAAATTATTCATTCAAATGGAATGTTTCTCAGTTTAAAAATGCTTCTATATATAATAATTGTGCATTTTAAGTTCAAGATTATCTTGAAAGACATTAGGGTTTAGGGCTCATTGGTCACATGACCTGTTATTGTCCAATCAAAATGCCTCATATGTGCTAGGTGTCATGTTTAATGCTTATAAATTTGGATTTAATTTTTTCTAAGCAAAAATGTTTTCCTATTTTGTTGGCCCCTATCATGGTTGAGGAGAATATACGCAGTTATAAGTTTGTAGCCTTTGTAGTTACTGAGAAAACTTAAAAAATAGGTACCAAAATCGTTACGGAAGGACAAATTGATATTAATTAATCCATAATTTTATAATGAAATATTTTTTAATCTTATGCACTAGACTTAATGTAAGAAATAAGTTATATTTAATGTATTTAGCCTTTATTGTTTAAAATGATCACTATTATGAAAACTATATCAAAAATAAAAATGTCCTTCCATAACACTAATTTATAAGTTTTCCAGATAAAAGTGTCAATAAAATCATAATTAATCAACAAAACCTAAAATTTCTTTTGGATTCTGGTGTCTTATGGTGTCTGGTTTCAGGAATGATAAGTTTTATAAGTACATGTAGGATTCTTTTTTTAAATTTTGAGGTCTGCGGACCAAATACCACGGAATGGCCCATCTACGGCGCACAGGTACATGTTGCCTTCACCGCAAAAGCAGGGCAGGGTGTAAGGTCTCTAGTCACCGTTCGCTGAGACCGAGGCGACCGCCGGTCGGTGTCCACAAAGCACACGTAGCAATCTCCGCGGGAGACGTGACGGGGAGGCGTAAGGGTGATGGTCTTCAAGACCCGTTGTCTACATTAGAGCGGGGTCTTCCTTTGCTGTTTGGAGTGTTTATTTTAATTGTATTGAATTATTCAAAAAACATTCTGATGCACAGAAACCAGTGTCTTACAAAAACGAATCTGGCAAATAGAAACTCGTTTCCTTTTCTAAAACGATTCTGGCAACTAAAATCTGTCGTGGTAGTTGAATTACAAATAACACAATACCACAGTAAATTATTTGCAAAGACAACTAATAGTGCGTACAATGCATCTATTGAAATCCTGAATTATATTAGTATAAATAATAACTATTTTTGGAGTTCTCACATTGAACAGGTGATTTTAGAGGCAAAATGCGTCAAAAAGTTCATTTCTGATAAGAAATTTGAGCAAGGGTCATTCTTCAGGTCGGTAATTTCACTTTTTTTGGAAACGCATATACAGTAACTGTAGTGACCATCTGCATGTTGTACGGTTAGCCGAAGACGTGTACATACGGCAGAAAATTTCTGATACACACACTGGACAACAGAAGTGTCACCCCCTGAATCAGAGTTATCAAAGTTATAATGTCTGGTTTACTTATAATGTGACCAATGAGTATAAAACCGCTGTTCCATGGTGTAGAACAGTTTCATTAGCTATTTTATTGTAATAGACTTGTGAGAATTCTTTTGTCTATAGCTACTTATATTTGTCTGATCTTACCATCCAATATATCATCTACTTGCAGTCATACTTCATCAGGGAATGAGGTTGTAACGTATGACAACCTATCACCCCTTCTGGTGTGCTATTTGGTCAGATCCCCCCCCCCCTTGCCTGCCCCTCCCTACCCAACCTTTAACCTACCACTCCTAAGGGAGTGATTAAACATTTTTATCTGCAATAATACAACTGTACACTAAAGAAAGCTTGGAATTTGTAAATTTATAAATTTCATTTGCTGTGACAATTTTTATGAGCGACAGTGTATGTATGACAAATAATGCATTGTTACCCCCTAGGCTCGATCGTGGGCAGGGCATTATTAAGTACGTACACTGCTTTATTTCGTAAGTACACGAAAGCGTGTGGCCTGTTTTTGTGCAAATATTACCCTTAATTTTTATCAGTCATGTCATTTACAAGGATAAGTCATAAAAGTATTTGAAATGTTTTGGATAAATATTTAAACTGTGATAGTAAACAAGGGCGTATCAAATTAAGTTACAATTTAAACAAACACTGATATACTAGACAAACAGAATAGTAAAATGGTTTGGATGAAGTCTTGAGAAAGCTGGTGCTATCACGTAGGCATATATATATTTTTGCACGTCCACGATACTGTGTAACAACAATGGGTTATAATCTTTGAAAGTCTGTCAAAATATTCCCATGTGTTGGATTACAATAGGGGTGCCTTCATGTGAAAGGGTATTGATTTGTCTTATTATAACAAACAATTTTGTGTTTCCAAATATTGTTTTGTAGTTTAAACCTTCTTAATTCTTAGCCGAAAATGACGCTAAAATAGCGTTGGAACACAGATATACCAGTCTGTTATGCAGCTGTAGGGGCCTACCTTATGAAAAAGAAGTGCCCCCAGAACGATTATACATAGAACTTTCCTTTTTTAATCTGCCGCTTATATCTTGATATGACTGATCTCTTATTGGTGAAGAGCGCCACAGATAATCAATGTTTGCACGATTTGGGAGATGGAACAATTTGCCCTCTTGCGACGCAAGATTAAACTATAGCCTTTAGCTATATTCAATCTATAAAACAACTGTTTCACCCTCTATATCCTGTCATTTGAAAACAGATTGATTCGATGTAGATGTATCAGCATCTGAATAAATTTTACAAGTTTCTTCATGCTTCGTAAAAATATCACTAATACTAGGGTGTAGTAATTGGATTAGGAATGTTACAATATCTCAACATATAATCCCCTAGTAAAATCGTGTCACCACTAACACATTGCGTGAAGTGATACAGAAAATCATGTCATGAGCCATGTTCTTTATTCAACTACTAAAATTTACTACGCTACTTAAAGCGATAATAACTCTTCGTATGAGATCTATATTTCACAATAAAAACATTGTGAATAACTCATAGAAACATAATATATTCTGTTTTACCACAAAAATGGCAGTTATAGCTATAATTCTGCTATCTGAGTTTGTCTTTAGATCACGTGACCTCCATTGATGGCTATACTCTGTTAAAATCTCTTAAGAGATTTTAACAAAAAACCAAACTTTTTAGAAAAAACCCAGGGACTAACTTTGAATGTAAAAATGGATTCATTAACCATTGGTAAGTATGGGAAAATTGTTGTTTACTCCAGGAAAATTCATTTTTTGGCCAAAACGAAGAGTTATTATCCCTTTAACTTGTAACGAAACTGAGGGTCCGTGTAATAGAGAGTCCGCCTTCTATTTAGTTATAATGGAGGCTTACCTGCACAAATGAATGGGAAGCGGACTCTCTATCATGGGGGACGTACTCTCTGTCACGTTACACGGGGACGGTGATTATGATTATTTTTTGAGATGTTGATTCAGGCCATTTAAATGCCATTTTATGTTTTAAATATTGCAATTGTCTTCTACAAGAAGCAACGCATGCTCTCAGAGTGCGTTTTAGATCCTATTTTTGTCACTTAAAGGTGGGGCTGTAGGGTGGAGATTTTATCTTAAAATAAGGACCTACAAGTGGTACATGTAGTCTACATGTAGCTATTGGAACACAAACACCAACGGGGTTGCAGTCTCATCGTATGCAATTTTCATTCACCATGTCGTGGCTGGCACAAATTGTTTGTCCTAATCTTTATTAATTCATCTTCGTATATGATAGTGAACATATAAGTACAAAATGTACTAAAATGTATATAATTAACTCGTCTCCCTAAAACGCTGTGCACTAATATGGTATATGGCTGTCGTACTTAAGGGGTATACCCACTTTACTATTGCACCCGTCACATATATTCCTTTTCGTTGTACAAATTAATTTTTAACATTTGAATTTTTCTCGGCCATTTATGTTATCTACACTTAACGGTTACCTGAAAGGCCTAATTAAAATGGATGTCTATTCCGCAACATAATGCATATTGCAATGAAGAGTTTGTGCTTTTATGTATCATTCCCTACTTTTACTGGTTATCATTTTTTATGAAACATATCTTCATGATGAAATAAATAAATATTAATAGAGCAATAAACGATGAGAAGAAAACCTTTGGCGGTTTGTGTTGTTTAATTATCATATTTTAATTCAATAAGATACGACAACAATGATAGTAGGTAAGAAGTGCTTGTGATGATTATATTGGCACGCGTGGACATTGTTCCTAGCCACTTAAAGGTATTACCTTGTCGCCACAACAAACAAGTTTCTTTATGTATTGTCAGTGAGATGCAATAACAATGATAATATTCAAGTAGGTCTTGTGCTGATTATGATTATAGGGACACGCGTATAGACATTGTCCCTAGACACTTAAGGTTTTACCTTGTCGCCACAACAAACAAATTTTAATGCACATGCAGTCAGTAAGATACGACAACAATAATAATATAATGTGCTGATTAGAGTGACACACACAGGCACTGTTCTTAACCACTTATAGGTATTATCCTGTCGCCGCAGCAAACAATAGCCCTAATGATCTTCTAGCTCATATGTCCTGTTGATGCACCAGCCTACGCCAATTTTATTGCAGTCGCTTGCAACCTTACGGCGACATGTTTTGAATGCCTTCGACCGGTAGACAGAATGGATATGAAAAACGACACTAACTTCTGGTTGCCGGTGTAACAGCAATGGAAGTCCGCTAAACCGTAGTCCGCTTCTCATTACTTTGTACAGGACACATTCGTCCCATATACCAACCACAATACCCCAACTAACCCTAACCTGTACTAATCATATGGGAGCCCGGACATCCATTCCTAGGACTTGCATTTCTGTTACACCGGGTTTACTTTTGAAAAACGAAATTGAAAACTAGACACTCACTTCAGCGTTCTGTAAACTTCGTGGTCTTAGATTGTGAGTTGCATACTTCCGGTGAGTTTCAAAACACGGATAAGTTTTACATCCCGGTTTCTACAGATATGAGTAGAAATGATGATGATGAAAAAATACAATCTTTTGCGTTACAATTATACTCTGATTCAAATTTGGTCGAAAGCGGGCAAAATTCATGGTCTCAGATTGTGAGTTGGGCACTCCCAGTGAGTATCAAAACGCGGATTAATCTTAATTTTTTTACACATTTGAGCAGTGTCGGGAAACTCAAATCAAGATCCGCCTAATACATCCGTTTAGCGTTATGGAGATTACCGAGCTTTTGGAGAAGCTCCGATAAATCAGTATGGAGATTGGAAGTAGGTCAACCGAAAAAACAAACCGCGTTGTAAAAAAAAAGATGAAAAATGACAAATACAAAAGCTAACAAATGGTTAAAGTTTGCATTTAGTCTTATTTTTTTCAAATGAGATAGGCTTGTGTTTGCAGATATTAATTTATACCTTAAATTCTATGACATAAAAACTTAAATGATCAAATACAAAATATGAGGGAAAAAAGTAGATTTTCATTTTCTTTTCGGTTAAAATGATCTTTGAATCAATTTCTTATAAATGCCATATTCCGAAAATTAAAATGTACATCCAAGCGTTCCAATATTCAAAATAATTGCAATACTAGTGGTATAAAAAGCAAAAACAATGTGTTCCATGCCCTTGTAATGGAGAAACCTGTCTATACAGCTATGAGAATAAAGCTAAAAGCACACCGCTATTTAAATAATTACCTTCGTAACATATCGCATCATTGAATTTTGTTGTATCTGTTTGCTTTAGCCTCAAAAGCATAAAAATCTATCCCAAACCATTGTTCTGGAGAAACAAAATCGATTCAACTGAAGGTCCATATAGAATGCATACTGCAATTTGAAAATAACCTTCAAAGAAAAAAATTATATTAAACCAGTTTGCGTTTTATTTATAATTTGAAAAATAAACCTGGCTCTATCAAATTTAAGGGCAACATCTCAGGGAATACCGTAGAACATTGAAAGAAGGGTTGAAAAAAACACGTGCGTCCATATTACTGGAAATAAGAAGAGAGTGTTAGCGTTGGAGATGGTCTGGCAGCACCCACAGTTTGGTAAATCACCAGGCTCACATCCCAGTGGGTCGACGATACTTTCATTAGCGGTTTGATTGGCCACGACTAAGACAGTCTTGTCAATGGTATCCTGGCAATCATAGACGTCAACTTGCATCGTAGCCTTCTCGTGGTCAGTCATGACGACAGACACTTTGTAACCGCATTCTAGACGCACGTCATACTGAATGGTGTCGTCTGCTTTCAAGGGATAAAAGTCGTCTACGGTCTTCATACTGCTGTGTAGGTTTACCTTGACGTCCGAGTATTTGGCTTCAAATCTGAATATTCTGGCGTTGTAGGTGTTTGGTGGTACCACGTGGTATAATATAGTTACATAAAGGTCCGTTCCCTCGATATTGTATACCAGTGATCCTTCAGGCTTTCCATCTTCACTGGCTTGATCAAACTCGAGGACAGTGGCTTCCCCTGGGCCGATTCTCTCTGGTGGAACTGCTTTCATTTTTGATTCTTTAGTATACACTACCGGATTCACCAAGGCTTTTGTGTCCAGGAAATTACGTATGGCCACAATACTAGTGCAAGTAGCGGCCTCCTGACAACATGAAATTTGAAGAAAAAACTCAATGTAACAGAATCGAAGTTAACGAGCACGTGCGAATTCAGGACTCTGCCTATGAAAGGGAGGGGGGTTGTGTGCACAAAGATAAAAAATATTGCATTTCATGATCGCAAAGACAAGAAGAAGAGGGAAATTCTTTTGTCACGTGTCCTCCGCTTATGTTTGTTAGATGGGGGGGGGGGGGGTTGCCTGGTGGAGTGACGGGGAAAGATGGTATGTGTCTGCTGTGCCTTTTTGATCCGCCATTGAAAAAAAAATAACTGTATAAAATTGACAGCGATATACATGTTTATTGTATCTCATTTTCAAAAGGGAAGGTAATCTTCACTCCAGCACAACCATCTTAATGTTTCTTTATTTTATGAAATTGTTAAACAATTATTGAAAAGTAAATGAAATTAATGACGATATTGTCGATGGATGATATAAATATCTGGCAATAAATGGTATTAAAATAGACTTTCGTAAATGATTTTTAAATGAGACTACTATATTTTGTGTCCAGGAAATTACGTATGGTCATAATACTAGTGCGAGTATATATATTGAAAGTAAAAGTGTTTTTCCTGTATACACACACAAACACACACACACATACACACACACACACACACACACATATATATATATAGAGAGAGAGACAGAGAGAGAGAGAGAGAGACAGAGAGAGAGACTCAAACAAACACTTACGGGTAAAAGACTACGTATGTCGTTATAAAAATCATACGCTTGCTTTCCATATTCAAAGACCACGCCAAGAACCGTTGCGTCCCTCCTAGCTTGTAAATTGGTGTCGCCTTTTGGCAGAGTGTCTTCCGATTTTTTCTCTATTGTAAAGAGATCGGGAGAATTTATGTCCACCGCATCACCAGATAAAATATCGTCAGCAGTGGCTACGCTGTACTGGATGAAAAGCAAAACAGAAATGACCTTGGATATCATCCTGAAACCCATGCTGGACAAATTTAAACTGACCGCACCTTTCTTTCCGTTTGTCTCGGTAAGTATATGCAGCTTGTCTGGAGAGACTTGATGAAGTGACTCCCAATTGATCCGCTTCCTGCTTTTGTGCAAAATAAGGATTATCACTAAAGATATAATTTTATCTACGTTTTGTGATATCTATACTCTTTGTGGTGATAATCTTCTTGCTACTCATCCTCGGACCCGAATTTTGGTACACTCGATTCTCACACATATGATACGTACGCCTTATCTATGGCAAGCCAAAGGGGAAATAATTGCAGAACATGTTTATCACAGCCCAGAACCAATAAATAGTATTCAGAAATATGATTTCAATGCCAAAAATGAGAAAAATTATCATGAACAATGCTCTCAGTGACATGGGGTCCCTTAATTATTTTTTGTGTTTTATATGCCGCGTGATAATTTATTGGTGCGTTTTCTACGTACCATGTACACTGTAAAAGGTGTCAGTGAACGTATAACCACCTGTGTGGCTGTCAAATTACTACCATGGTAAAAGTAGGGAATCTCACAAACCAAGGTTTCGTTCCCAATGACGGGGTTTCTCGTTGAATGCAATCATGTCAACGGGTTAAAAAGCCTCCTCTAATTTCGAAAGTACGCATTATATCACCAGCTTTTCTGCATTCAGCGTCAGGGGGAATTATGTTTATTTCCCAAACAGTCTCGGACATCGGCCCACACCTGGCCAGCGCTGGCATAGATAGCAGTTATGCCCGGCCAAAACAAAAATGTGCTTATTTCATTAATTACAAAAAACAATCAAGAATGAACAGATATATAATATGTGCCAAGTATCTAAAAATTTATGCGATTTATGATTAACAATGCCTAACATTAGTGGGCTTTGTAAATGAAAAAAAATTAAAAGTAATAAGAAATAAATAAATAAAAGCATCTGCACTGATTACCAGTTAGGGCCACAATTTTATTTAAGGTTTTAGTTTTTACACATGCTGCTTTTTATAATCTAGCTCCACCATATATAACTGATCTAGTCAAACATTATAGCCCTCAAAGATCCCTGAGGTCTGGTGACAAACTTTTACTGAAAGTTCCAAAATCAAGGTTAAAATGGTATGGTGACATATCATTTTGTGTAGCTGCACCAGTAGAGTGGAATAAGTTGCCAATTTTTATTAGACAAATAGAATCACAAGAATCTTTTAAAAAGGAATTAAAAACTCATATCTTTAAGACATTTTATTCATGAATCTTAAATTTTACAATTTTAAAGAAACCTTGGATTTTTTTACTTTTAATTACTGTTTATTACAATTAAGTTAGTTTAGCTCTTATTTATATAAAATATATCTTAACCGTTTTTATCTATAAACTTCTTTGCATTTTATGTTGTACAGTCTGTTGAACATTTTATGGATTTTAGACTTGAAATAAATATATTATTATTATTATTAACGCTCGTGGTGCAGGTTTCCATGAATCAAACCCTGTTCACAAATTCTGTAGAAATTAATACACCCCTAGACCATCATTAATGTGAGTTGTCAGCCCCCCCTTTACTGCACATAATAATTTATGCGACCCTGGCAGAAGGTAAATAATATCCATATTATTGCAATGTGTTTGCTTTTATGTGTTGAACCCGGTTTCACTATGAATGTATGGTCACATCTGCATCTGAATTCATTAAGCTTCGCAAAAAATAACATAAATAAGTGGGTGTGGTAAGTGGATTACGAATAACACAAAATCCCAGTTAATTATTTGGAAAGCCAATTTCCGGATCTGCATAATTAGAAAATGGTGCCTTCGATTCGTGTACATATTATTTCTACAAATATAATCTTTCTATAATATTCCCAAAATGGCAAAAGAAAAAATGTTATCTCACTGGTTTGCTAGAAAAAAACGTTTTTTTTTCTCTGAGCCCACGCCTTTATTCCCGTTCACCTCCAGCTAAAAACGACCACTCAGCTTTGCGTTTTATTCTACTTCCGGCACAATCCTTTCTCCTCCGGTACCCTCTATTGCGATCCCTAAACCCGCCTGTCAGTTATATTCTCCCTTCCAAAAGTGTCACATCTAAAGCAATGGATAAACTGATACAGAAAATCATGTCATAAACCAATGTTCCTCTTTCAAATTCTTAAGGGATTTTTTTCGCAAAAACTTACCAATTGTACAACCAATGAATAAAAACTAACCAAATTTAATAGGGGAGTAAAAATTAGGTTCTCATTGATGCAGAGGGGCAGAATTTCCATAGTAGTAATGGTAATGAGAGGAATTAAGAACTCAAAAACCGGGTTCCCTGGTCGCGATAGCCAGTTGCCTCTTCCTCTGTCTTCTCCTGTTCCCCTCGGCAAAAATGATTCTAATTTCTCAGAGTCAGGATCGTCTTTAAAAATGGCACTAGTTTCTGGCTTCCAGAATCCTTTTTACAAACGGACTTAGTTTCTAATTGCCAGGTTCTCTTTTTCTAGAGCGACATTGGTATTTGAAAATCAGAATAGTTTTTGAAAAATTCAACTAAAATCAATAGTGAAACAGCAAAGTGAGACCTCCTCACTTTGCTGTTTCACTATTGATTTTAGTTGAATTTTTCAAAAACTATTCTGATTTTCAAATACCAATGTCGCTCTAGAAAAAGAGAACCTGGCAATTAGAAACTAAGTCCGTTTGTAAAAAGGATTCTGGAAGCCAGAAACTAGTGCCATTTTTACGTAATGTAGACGACGTGCCTTAGTTCCTAATTACCTGTCCCCTCCCCCACTGTCTTCTCTTGTTTCCCTCGGCAAAAGCGATTCTAGTTTCTCAGTGTCAGAATCCTTTTAAAAATATTACACTAATTTCTCGTTGCCAGAATCGTTTTTTTAAACGATACTAGTTTCCTTTTGCCAGAACGGTTATGAAAAACGGTACCTGTTTCGGTTGCCGGGTTCATTTTTGAAAACCAAATTGGAAACTAGACACACACACACCTCAGCGCCCTTTAAACCCATGGTCTCAGATTGTTGGACACTTCCGGTTAGTATCAAACTCCGGCAAATTTGTCCTTTCATTGTCAATTGTAACAGCTCAGTTTGAGCTAAGCGCTTGGCAACTCGAAGCACGATCCGCCCAATTTGTCCATTTGACGCTTTGTGTATGTTTTGGGGATTTTTAGAGATCATAGAAAACAACAAAAAAGTAAAGTTCTTTTCAACTTTGAAGTTTCCATAGATTAATGTGGACATTGGATAAAGTTTAGACCAAAAAAGAAAACCCGTTCGAAGAAAAAAAATCTAGAATAGTGACAAATAAAATAGACACAAACAGTTTAATTTTGCATTTAGTCTTATTTTTCAAAGAAGATAAGCTTGTGTTATCAAATACTGATTTACGTTTTAAATTCTGTAACATTTGATATTGAATGATCAAAATAACAAGTAAGAGGGAGAAACAGATCTAGAAGATTGTCAATCTCACTTTGGTTAAAATAATCTTTGAATCTATTTCTTTTAAATGTACATGTCATATTAAAATTTAAAATTTTCACCCAGGCGATCCAGTATTACGTGGTGTTTATAACACATCGTCAAAATGTGTTCCTACTTTTTGCAATACAAGCAGTCTAAAAAGCATAAACATGTGTTCCATGCCATTGTTATGGAAAAACAAGTCAATTATATTATATATATAGGAATGAAGCTAAAAAACATGCTGCAATTTGAAAATTACCTTCATAACGTATTGCATCGTTGAGATTAGTTTTGACTGTTTGCTAAAACATCTAAAGCGTAAAAAATTTGTTCCATGCCATTGTTCTGGAGAAGCAAATCAATTTAACTGTAGATCTATATGGAAAGCATTGTATATTTTGAAAATAACATTCAAAGAAAAAAATTACATTAAATCGTACTGCGTTTGTAAGCCTGTACCTGTATTTGTAAGTTTGAAAATCAACACGGATCTATCAAATTAAAAGTCAACATTTTGTGGAATACAGTAGAGCATCGCAAGAAGGGTTGTAAAAAACATATATAAAGCTGTTGCTGGAAAGGAAAAGAAGGCTCGAGAGCCAGATTTCGTGTAGGAGATGATCTTGCAGCATTGGCATGTTCGTACATCACGGTTACAGTTTAGGGTGTCCAAGAATTCTGTAGTAGTGGGTTGCTTGGCCACGACTAGGACAGCTTTGTCAATACTATCATGGCAGTCATAGACGTCAACTTGCATCGTAGCCCTCTCGAGGTCAGTCATGACGACAGACACTTTGTAACCGCATTCTGGACGTATGACGTATCGAATGGTGTCGTCTGCTACCAAGGGATATAAAGGGGATATGGACTTCATGCCGTCGTGTAGGGTTTCTTTTATGGCCGAGTACTTGGCTCTATAAGCAAATATTCTGGCGTTGTAGGTGGTTGGGGGTCCCACGTGGAATAATATAGTAACAAAAAAGACTGTTCCCTCGATATTGTACACAAATGATCCTTCAGGTTTTCCGTCTTTTTCGGCTTGATCAAACTCCAGGACAGTGGCTTGCCCTGGGCCTATTCTCCGCGGTAGAATCACTTTCAGCCTCGATGCCTTTGTATATACAACGGGATTCACCAAAGATTTTCTCTCCATGAAGTTACGTATGGTCACAATACAAGTGCGAGTAATGGAATTCTGAAAGTAAAAAAATAATAATAATAAGAAATACTAACAATGATAAAGAATATAAATAAACGGGCATGGGCTAATTTGGGATTTTGCTAAGGAATGGGGGCACAAAGATAAAAACAATGCCTCGCATGATCACACATGGAAGAAGATGGGGGGATTTCTGGTTTTAATTTGTCACGTTCCCTTCTCTTAGGTTTATTGGGGAAGGGGGGTGGAAGGCGGGTAAAGATGGCGGTAGTTATTACAGCTGTGCTGTCATTTTTCCGCCATTGATGGAATAATTGTGAAAGATGCTAAGTAAAATATTATATTACTTTTATGATATATTAAACTGGCTCAAAACGTTTGAAAATGGAAATTGCTTTTTTTTTTCGTGAATTGCTTTTAAATGTGACTATATGACCAAATGGATTGCTATTGCAGTAGGCCTATATTTTCCTTTCTATGCTGAAATTACAAGATGGTTATTCAAGCCTGCTCTTTTAACCAGTTTAATTCATCCAAAGTGAAGTTGGAATATTTGATAACACGAAGAACTTTATTAATTCACATAAACAAATCGAGAGAGAGAGAGAGAGAGAGAGAGAGAGAGACTCAAACAAACACTTACGGGCAAACTATCAAGTATGTTGTTAATAACGTCCAGTCCTGCCGTTACGACAGAAGTGACCTTGCCGATGTCCTCCCATGCATCATTCTTAACAGGTGTTTCGACGTCGTCTTCCAGATCCTCTTCCATTGTAAAGAGGTGTGAAGAATTTTTTTCCACCGCATCATCAGATAAAAATTTGTCATCAGTAGCTTCGCTGTACTGGATGAAAAGCAAAACAGAAATGACCGTGGATATCATCCTGAAACCCATGTTGGACTAATTTAAACTGACCACACCTTGCTTTCAGTTTGTCGCAGTAAGTATACGCAGCTCGTCTGAAGAGACTTGCTGGAATGACTCGAATTGATCCGCTTCCTGCTTTTGTGCAAAAAATAATAATAATAAATTATTATCACCGAAGATAACTTTATCTACGTTTTTTCGTGATATCTTAACTCTCTGAGGTGAGAGTGGCAGCGAGTTGATGATCTCCATGCTAATCATCTGACCCGCTTTTTGGTACACAAATGCATTATCATTTATTTGGCATGCACCACATACAACTACAAGCCTGGTGGACCCATACATGAGTTTTGGCTCTTGTCTCCTTTTCTGACCGATCTTCTTGTCCTTAATACACATCTATAGAGATATTATGTTACTGTACAGCTGGGAACACTACATGTAACACCCTCCTACCTCAAAGAAACAATTTTTAGCCTTGTTGGACTGTGACACAATGTACATTGACATAATATACTGTGGCAATCTGACAGTCACATAGAAAACTCACCAATTTTTGTTAAGGGGCATATGAACCAATAAAAAAATAAAAATACTATAGGAACTCATGCCACCAAAAACATTGTTCATAATAATGGTGATATACGTTTGTCATTCCTAGTAGAAACTTATTAGTGAAACCCTTCTCTAGGAATGTTTGGATTCCCAAGCTTATGATAGTAAAATTTGTAGAACGGCACGCTGGATGTGTGAGTATCACGAGTACCAAAATTAGGGTCAGATGAGTAGCATGGAGATCATGAATTCGGTGCCACTCCGACCACAGATAGTTAAGATATCACAAAAACGTAATAAAATTATCTTCAGTGATACTGTTTGTTTTGCAAAAATGTGGGAGTCGAATCAATTGGGAGTCAATCCATCATGTTTCTCAATAAATGCTGCGTATACTTACTGCGGCAAACCGAAAGTAAGGTGTGGTCAGTTTTAATTTGCCCAGCATGGGTTTCACCATGATGTCATCGGTTATTTTCGTTTTGCTTTTCGCTCAGTGCCCCTCCCTCCAACAAACATAAGCGAAGGGAAAGTGGCAAAAGCAAGAATTCCCTTCCTCTTCTTGCCTATGCAATCATACAAGGCAATATCTTTTTGATACCCCCCCCCCCCGTTCTTTATCATAATCCATGATTTGCCAGAGCTCGTTAACTTAATTTCTTTTACATTTAATTCCTTCAATTTTTATATGTTTAGGAGGCATGTGATCATATGTAATTTCCTAAACACAAAAGCCTTGGTGAATTCAACTGTATACTAGCATCAAAAGTGAAAATGATTCCACCCCAGAGAATCGGCCCAGAGCAAGCCACTGTCCTGGAGTTTGATCAAGCTGAAACGATTCTGGCAACCAAAACCAATTGTCGTTTTTCAAAAACGATTCTGATGCTGAAAAAAAAAACAGATCGTTTTTTGCTGTGGTAAACAGGAGTGGAGGGAGGAGGAGGCGACCGGGGGCTAGCGTCTACAACGACCACGTGACCTTTACCGCTGAAGCCGAGCAGGGTGTTACAGTCTCTACTCGCCGTGTGTTGAGACCGGTGTGACGTGACAGTGAGTCCCCTATGAGAGAGAGTGCGGTTCCCATTAATTTGTACAGGTAAGCCTCGCCCTAGATTTTGACCCACTTACGTCGGGCTCATCCTAACCAGTATAACTAAATGGAAGACGAATGCCCTATTGCACAGGCCTTCAGTTTCGTCACACCTTTTTTAGGTGCCAGAATTGTTTTTGAAAGAACGAATGTACTTTCTACCTTGTAGTTGCCAGGTTAGGTTTTGAAAAACGGTGTCTGGTTGACAGGTTCGTTTTTTAATAACGAAACTTAAAACTAAAAACTAGACACTAACTACAGCGCACTTTTATTGCACATAATAAAATATGCGGTACTGGTAGATGGTAGATAATATCCATATTATTGGAATATGTTTGCTTTTATGTGTTGATCCCGATTTCAATATGAAATGTGTGGTCACAATATAGTAAAAATAACATAAATACGTGAGTGTGGTAACACAACGTCCAAGTATATTATTTGGAAAGTTGACTTCTAGTACGTACAATGCATCTACTGAAATTCTAAATCATGCAGCATAATTAGGAATGGTGCCTTCAGCAAGTCCGTTTTCTTATAGACTTCGGTCAAAGTGAAAATGTCTCTTTATAGTGTCGCAAAATGAATAAAAGAGTTTGAATTGGTACTTTTGATCCTGACAGTAAACATACAGCAAAATCCTCGAATATTCTTAAACAAACGCGACCGTAATTAACCAAAGCACATAGCAGGACCTCCAGATTCCAGCCATGCTTTATATACTGCGTCAAACTTCTCGTTTTGGGTAACTGTAAACCAATTTTTCCAATCACCGACTTGACCTAAATTAAGAAAGAAAAAATATTGAGAATTTCTATTCAATGCAATACAAATTTTCATTTATCTACTATCATTACTATTTGTCCATATACACAATACAAAGTAGTTAGAAAACTTTTTAATGCATTTCTGTGTTCAATAAATTATTATTATTATTATTATTATTATTATTATTATTATTATTATTATTATTATAACGCATTGTAGCTGGAAACATGACTCAGAACAATGGCTTTTATAAAAATATTTATAGGAGTCCTAAAAATACGCGAGTGCTTTTCGTTTCAGTGTAATTTCACAAATAATAGACTTTTTCACCGTATATATACATCCAGCTAGCGCATAATGATATTTGATGATATTTACAGAGCCATTAACTTGAGAAATATATTAACTGAGTTACAAAATTTACTAGTAAGTCGCGAAAAGGGAGAGAATGGAGACAGATAGAGAAAGTCAATGTTACCTTTCCGATACATGATTTTGTTTTCCATCTCCGACATTTGTTTGCATTGTTTCATGGTACCAAAGGAACACCTGTCTGCCATCTCCAGGTACCTGCTCTCAGGGAGTGACACGCCCAGAAAGTGGGCAATGACTTTTATCTCAGAGACCAAATCCTGGGAATAGCATATTACAGATTTATTTTGGCCGACGCAAGAAGCATGTACTAAAATGTTGATGAAACATAACTATCACTAATGAAATTTAGCTGAATTGCTAGCTATTAGCTTTCAAAAGAAAGTGAAAGGAAAAAATCATGTGTTGTGAAATCTATAAAAAAGTGATTATTATAAAAGTAAGTGTTCTGGAAAAACTCCTTTAAGTTTAATATAGCAATAAACGGGGGTTTTATGATTTTCACGTGAATTCGGGGAATTACTTCCCGCGGTAAAATATGGAATACAAGGGTAACTGGCATTTTATTTATTTAGGATTACACCCATCTGTCTTGAGAGGGTCAGCACGTTTGGAAAAATAACCTTTTTCAGATCTTCATACATGAGAGTGAGGACATTTTCGTCCTTCCCTCCTTCTTTGGACCACTCCATCTCGTAGTCGAACCAACTTCCTCGTACTACTGAAAAATATAGTCTCATGGTGTACAGTTAGAATCTATACAAACAGACAAAGAGAGGAGGGAGGGGAAGATTACTACTAAGACGATCACAGCTGTTCTCACCGATATACTGCAGTGATGCACCTACAAAATGGCAATCCATCATTGTCTGCTAGTATTAAATCGTTAAGATATACCACCTTGAGAAAATAAAATGTTTGTTAACCCATGCCAATTAAGAGATTTGTATAAAAAAGCGCCTTTGCTAAGGTGATAATTTGGTGGAAAATAAAGGGGAAAAGAATCGAAGCAGGCGCCTTTCTAACCTTTTCCCTCCGTGAAAAGCTGTACCCATCCCTCCCAGGACCCGGAATACTGGTAGACAGAGTGAAGCTCCTTGGTATGGAGGTAGTAGGACACAGCGACATCTTTCGGATTTCTCATACAGTGGAGGATTTTACTTTTCTTCTGGATGACGTCACGCGGAAGCTGGTGCCACCAGAGGGCGCAACTAAATGTGATCGTTTCAATGACGTCGGTACATTATGTCAGTATTCGAGCAAATTGCGACATGATGGGATAAAATGATACACATTATTTGAACTATAATTACAAAAAGATCAGATTAAATGAGGCGAGCAGCCACTTTTAGGACTGAGCGCAAGTTGAAGTCACAATGTACAAGACAAAATATAGAGCAACATACAAACACGTAAATGCAAGTACATTGTGTACATACATGTAAGGCACATATCTAAGAAATAGTGAAACTCATAATATTTGTATTTTGAATAAAAATTGCTTACTTGAACACCCTCGGTGATGGTAAGTTTGTGAAACTAGCTGCGTCATGGAAGTCAAACTGGGTGGTTTCTTTCGGCTTACTGGTATAGTCGGTGGAGTTACCCAGTAACATATGTACGATTTCCCACAGCCAGTGTGTACCTTCAGATACACAGACATTGCTGATGTGTAGTTACCTCTGTTACATACCGGGGATTTTATTATGAATACCTATAGTACCCTTAAATAGTATAGGTAGTCAACAGAGAGAGAGAGAGAGAGGGAAATAATTTTTAAATGGAACGAAATTAAGAGTACATTCGCAGTTACATGCAAGAGTATGAGATCAAGAACGAATATCAAGTTTGATAAATCGCTGAACCTTTAAAATATTTACCCCAGAATAATAAATTAAATCAAATTTTATTTACTTTTTCAAAATTATCGTCTTCGGGTAAGTGTAAGTGAACAGCTAATGTTGGATATGGTATATCCTAGACGAACATTCAGAGACAACACTACCTGATTTTGCATAGCAACAAATCCAGATGTCATCAGGCCTGCTGACAAACTCGTCCCCTCTCTCTATGTTCTCACGTATCCCCTTCACTGCAGGCAAATAATGCCCATTGTAGGGAATATAGGATAGCGTCTTTCCGTTGTGGTCAGTGATGACCGAAACGCTGTCTTGGTCTTTGTCTGACGTCCACTCGTTTATAATCTTGTCCAGAGTTCCGTGGTCATCTTGTGGAGTGCCCATGGCTGTGAACAAGCAATACATGTATTGTTGGCATAATGTACATGTACAGGCCCGTAGCCAGGGGGGTTCGGGGGGTTCGAAAGAACCGCCCCTTTTGCTGGGAAAAGGTCCACTCTGGGTAAAATTTGATCTAGGTACATGAAGTTTTTATGGGAAAAGGTCCACTTTTTATGAAAAAGAAGCCCCCAATTGAAATTGCTGGCTACGGGCCTGATGTAATAAGGCCCTTAGCCAGTGTTTTCAAAGGGGAGGGGGAGGGGTCTTTTTCTGAAAAAAGTGGATCTTTTGCCCTAAAAACTTCGTGTGCCGAGACTAAATTTTACTTAGAGCGGACCATTTTCCAAATAAAAGGGCGGTTCATGCGAATCCCGGACCCCCCCCCCCCACGCACCTGTTGGCCACGGGCCTGTGTAACAATTCCTCCGTAGTCAAGCTGTAACCATGTATAAACACAATGAGAGGCACTCCTCCGGCTTCGATGTGTAACAAAATTCGTATCATAGAAATTTCAGCACAATTCCTTTAATCAGTTGATCGCTGGAAACCCGAAACGGACAAAGAGAATTGCGATCCATTGATCCGTCTTTGAGTTATAAACTCCCCTACCATGAGTGTTACCCCTAACGCAATGTGTAAAGTGACACCAAAAATCATGCCATAAACCAATGTTACTTTTTCAAATATAAAAGGGATTTTTTCCCAAAAATGTATTGATTGTCCAACCAAAATAAACTATCCATAGTAAAAAATCAACCACACATTTTAGTATTTTTTACAGTTTTTTTCTGGATTGGAGGACGCTGTTGTCGCGTCTGTGCGTGGAGTCAAAAAGTTATGTATATCGTTTGCGCAGTGATGGTGTTCCACATACTGTGCAAAGATAGTAGAGGTCGTCTATGAAGGTGTTATGGGCTGATGCATTACAACGGTTGAAGTCTCTGTTGATAGGTTTAATTCTGCATCATCTATAAGCATTCACATGTGGCCATGAAATAATATGCTCACTGAAAATTTACAAAGATGAAACACTGATTATCAATCGAAAACGTACATGAACGCACATGTATCATTTTAAGTATCGTACGACTTACTAGTATGTTTCAGTGTCCTTCCCTTGGTAATATGATATATATACTAACGGAGCACTTATACACTACCAGTAAACTGCCTGGCCCTTGGTCCACCTTAATTAGCAATTAAAATTGATGAATATTCACGTGAATATCATCAGCTGTTCACTGCACGGTTGCCGGCGGCCATTACACCGTCCACTCAGCAGAAGCATCAATAATCATAGGTTATCAGTAGCACTGGTTTTAATTGGGGCAAATCTACTGTGTCTTGACCTGCTGGTTAGGGGCCACTGTGAGTACAGCCCAGGGCTGTGTGCCTTAGCCTAATAGCGTTGACATGACCCAGTTAAGGACCCTTTACACTTGACGGCGTCCTTTCTGCGATCAAAAATGTGGTCAGAACGCTCAACGGTCACCAAAGCGGTTAAATCGTGTTTCAGTGTAAATGCTTCTGCGTCCATTGTGCGTTCTTTGAATCTAGATTTTAACTGTAAATGCCCCTTTACACTAGTTGGCATCCTTTCTGCGTCCCTTCCGCAAACAAAAATGTGGTCAGGACGCTCAACCGTCGACAAAGCAATTTTAATTGACGGAGACTTAATTTTAAGTGCCTTAGTCGTCTGCATCCCTTGCTCGTCCTTTGAACGACCGAATCTTGATTTTACCTGTAAAAATGCGAGCTACTGGCATGTGCGTCCACTGGTCGACCTGTCTACCTCCACTATGCGTCCCCTGTGCAACCCACGGAGTCCACTGCGATGTTTGAGCGTCCACTGAGCATCCTGGTTGTGTTCTCTGTACTGTACCTTCATCAACGATCAGTGGCTACCATTCTACGATCTTTTTGCCTCCTGCTAGTCCGATGAGCGTTGTTTGGGCGTCCTTCGATATATTGACTTTATTATATTTTTTTCATCAGTACTAACCTGGCCACCCAATGAAGAACATCTTCAGAAAACAAAACATTTAATTAGGAATTAATTAATTTTTTCAAACTACTGTACATGTGATGCAAGGTCTGAATGCTATACCCATGCAGTTCTTTCTATTGAACACGGTGGTACACATGTACTCTCATAATTATTGAATATGGAATATCACAAATCTACAATATATTTACGACTAGTTCTGATAATTGATCTCAAATGAAACTTGCATAAATAAAAAATGATTATTTATAATTCCACTTTAATATAGATTTTCTTCGTCAGATAAAAATCTTTAAAAACTGGATAGAGCACTACATAACAGCCAATAATTCCATAACAACGCGTTGAAAGTCCGTCTAGAATTGCCACTACCTACATTATATTCATAACCTTATACTAAGTATGTCAAGGTTGATTATGATGTACGACTAGGTCAGGAATGAGTTCTATAGCTTTATGGGTTCTAAACGGAAACCATATGCCAGCTATAAATCCATTATAATTACGATAGTACAGATACTAAACTAGTCGAACGACAAAAAGCTAAAGAAGGGGTTTAACAAAACGGAATCGTGACCAAGGTACGTAATATTACAAAGTTGTTGTAACAGTTCTTCTCTGTCAGTGTACATGTTAATCTTTATCCCTTGCAAATTAATAACATATTGGATTGCCGATGAAGTGCTCAGCTTCGATGCATATGTATAAAAGATCAATTCTGGACCACTCTCAGTAACTTGCCGAATTTTTAGGACTGAGTTTAACGCAATTATTTGTCACGAGGAATATTTGCCAGAATATTCTATTTAGCAATTTTGTTAGTTAGTTAGTCAGCTTAATCTCTACATATAATGACTTAAACAATATTACATGGTTAAAGATAGCTAGGTGTAATCGACCACATTAAATATATAAATATAGATAGATACTACAATAAAGGGACCTACGGACAATCCTAACGTTTTCAAAAAATTTCGGTTCCATTAATGATCTTGTATTTTACTTAGAAAGATATCACAATATACTAGTATGCTACAGAATCTGCCTACAAACAACGTTGGATTGCTAAAGGTAGCACACTATGTATTACTTTACCACCTGTTTAAGGGGGTAATTGCTGCACATACCATTCATAAACAAATATTAATCACTTTGGCAGCTTCAGTGCGACTGTACATATATTTGTAGCGTTTGAAGATACACGCGTGCATATGCAACTTAATTAGATATAACCGTCAAGTTTAATGTATATTATTTCTTAGAATTACTAATAGTTTATGTAGAGTTCAACAAAACAACGTAATGCGTGGCGCCAGTTACTAGTATTTCATTTTATGCATAACTTAAAATGAAACAGTTCATACCAGCCACAGTTAGCTGTACCTTTTTGGACGCCACTTGTCACCTACATTGGATGTTTTGGTTATAGAACCTTCACTGGTATTCTATTTCATGCACTGCCAAATGTCGAACGCTGTCTTGATGTTTTGTTGTTGTTTGTGGGAAAAGTTTGGTAAAATTTGGGCATTCTGTAACACATCCAACAACAAGATGAATAACATAAGTTTTCTTTCTTCCTTTTTTTGTGATTGTTTTTTTTTTTAGCTGTTTCTACAACAATTGAATTTGCAAGAAATAATTGTAAGTGAATGGTTTTCTAGGCACAGTACCAGTATTATATGAAATTGAAATCGCTGTCTTAAAGCTATTTTGACAATCTGTACAGTATGGTATTATTCTTATTATTCTCAGTACGGAGATGGAAACAAGGGAAGAGCCAGAGCAATTGACGACCAGTGAAAGGAGAAAAGAAGAATCTAGGAGCGTGTTTGTGTACAGACTTATTCGACAGATCTTCTTTGTTCTAACTTGGTTTTCGCTGGTAAGACACCATCACATTTTGAGTACAGATAGACTTCATCAGTCATTGAAGATTATTATAGATCTACAGTTATTGAATTTGGCTGGGGTCGGTAGTTCCATATACACACACTGGACAAAAGAAGTGTCACCCCCTAACTCAGACCAAAAAAAGTAGGCAGATCTTGGGTACTTATTATAATGCCTGGTCTACTTATAATGTGACTAATGAGTATAAAACTGCTATACCATGGAATTGTATTGTTGGTCTTGGACATGTACAGCAAATGTTATTCCTGTCTTCCTCCAATATGGCAAAATACAGGTAATTATCTAACGGTTATAGGTGCAAGTTATTAACCTGAGGAGGCGGAATATAAGCAATATCAGTATATCGATACAATTGAATTGTTTAGTCAGAACCGTGCAGAGGGTCTGGTCTCGGTATAGAAACACTGGATCAAGAGACAAATTGTCTCTGATGGGTCGTCCAAGAAAAACTACTGGCCGTGAAGACCGATGACTGATTTTGATGTCCAGGTTGTCAAAGTTCGACACTGCTTGTCAGTTGACAACACAGTGGAACAGTTTCACAATGAATGTGTCTTTGAAAATTGCTAGGCGTCGGTTACATGCTCATAGAGTGGAGTGTACAGCAGGGTGGCAAGACTGAAACCTCTTATATCGTTACAAAACAGGCAACGTGGAGTGAACTAGGGCCAACAGGATCTGGAACTGGACAGTCCATGACAATTGGTCCTATTTATTTTTTTTCTGATGAGTGTCGCTTTGGTCTGACCTCTGATGACAGACGGGTACAATGCTGGCGAACTGCTGGTAAAGCATTTAAACCACATGTACTTAAATTTCGAACCCGGAGCAGCATATTCATCATTTTTTTTCTGATGAGTGTCGCTTTGGTCTGACCTCTGATGACAGACGGGTACAATGCTGGCGAACTGCTGGTAAAGCATTTAAACCACATGTACTTAAATTTCGAACCCGGAGCAGCATATTCATCATGGTGTGGGGATGCATCAGCATCCATGGCGTGGCCGAATTGATAGTGGTTGATGAAAACATGAATCACTAGAAATATATCGATGTTTTGGAGTCAGGCCTGGTACCATCTATTACTAACATGTTCGNATTTTTTCCCAAAAATGTATTGATTGTCCAACCAAAATAAACTATCCATAGTAAAAAATCAACCACACATTTTAGTATTTTTTACAGTATTTTCTGGATTGGAGGACGCTGTTGTCGCGTCTGTGCGTGGAGTCAAAAAGTTATGTATATCGTTTGTGCAGTGATGGTGTTCCACATACGGTGCAAAGATAGTAGAGGTCATCTATGATGGTGTTATGGGCTGATGCTAGTATTTTGCATTACAACGGTTGAAGTCTCTGTTGATAGGTTTAATTCTGCATCATCTATAAGCATTCACATGTGGCCATGAAATAATATGCTCACTGAAAATTTACAAAGATGAAACACTGATTATCAATCGAAAACGTACATGAACGGTACACGCACATGTATTAATTTAAGTATCGTACGACTTACTAGTATGTTTCAGTGTCCTTCCCTTGGTAATATGATATATATACCAACGAAGCACTTATACTGTACCAGTAAACTGCCTGGCCCTTGGTCCACCTTAATTAGCCATTAATATTGATGAATATTCACGTGAATAACATCAGCTGTTCACTGCACGGTTGCCGGCGGCCATTACACCGTCCACTCAGCAGAAGCATCAATAATCATAGGTTATCAGTAGCACTGGTTTTAATTGGGGCAAATCTACTGTGTCTTGACCTGCTGGTTAGGGGCCACTGTGAGTACAGCCCAGGGCTGTGTGCCTTAGCCTAATAGCGTTGACATGACCCAGTTAAGGACCCTTTACACTGGACGGCGTCCTTTCTGCGATCAAAAATGTGGTCAGAACGCTCAACGGTCACCAAAGCGGTTAAATCGTGTTTCAGTGTAAATGCTTCTGCGTCCATTGTGCGTTCTTTGAATCTAGATTTTAACTGTAAATGCCCCTTTACACTAGTTGGCATCCTTTCTGTGTCCCTTCCGCAAACAAAAATGTGGTCAGGACGCTCAACCGTCGACAAAGCAATTTTAATTGACGGAGACTTAATTTTAAGTGCCTTAGTCGTCTGCATCCCTTGCTCGTCCTTTGAACGACCGAATCTTGATTTTACCTGTAAAAATGCGAGCTACTGGCATGTGCGTCCACTGATCGACCTGCCTACCTCCACTATGCGTCCCCTGTGCAACTCACGGAGTCCACTGCCATGTTTGAGCGTCCGCTGAGCATCCTGGTTGTGTTCTCTGTACTGTACCTTCATCAACGATCAGTGGCTACCATTCTACGATCTTTTTGCCTCCTGCTAGACCGATGAGCGTTGTTTGGACTTCCTTCGATATATTGACTTTATTATATTTTTTCATCAGTACTAATCTGGTCACCCAATGAAGAACATCTTCAGAAAATAAAACATTTAATTAGGAATTAATTTATTTTTTCAAACTACTGTAATGCAAGGTTTGAATGCTATATCCATGCAGTTTTGTTGAACACGGTGGTATACTCTTGTAATTCTTGAATATGGGATATCACAAATCTGCAATATATTTACTAGTAGTTCTGATAATTGATCTCAAATGAAACTTGCTTAAATAAAAAAATGATTATTTATAATTCCACTTTAATATAGATTTACTTCGTCAGAAAAAAAATCTTTAAAATCTGGATAGAGCACTACATAACAGCCAATAATTCCATAACAACGCGTTGAAAGTCCGTCTAGAATTGCCACTACCTACATTATATTCATAACCTTATACTAAGTGTGTCAAGGTTGATTATGATGTACGACTAGGTCAGGAATGAGTTCTATAGCTTTATGGGTTCTAAACGGAAAACATATGCCAGCTATAAATCCATTATAATTACCATAGTACAGATACTAAACTAGTCGAACGACAAAAAGCTAAAGAAGGGGTTTAACAAAACGGAATCGTGACCAAGGTACGTAATATTACAAAGTTGTTGTAACATTTCTTCTCTGTCAGTGTACATGTTAATCTTTATCCCTTGCAAATTAATAACATATTGGATTGCCGATGAAGTGCTCAGCTTCGATGTATATGTATAAAAGATCAATTCTGGACCACTCTCAGTAACTTGCCGAAAATTTAGGACTGAATTTAACGCAATTATTTGTCACGAGGAATATTTGCCAGAATATTCTATTTAGCAATTTTGTTAGTTAGTTAGTCAGTTTAATCTCTACATATAATGACTTAAACAATATTACATGGTTAAAGATAGCTAGGTGTAATCGACCACATTCAATATATAAATATAGATAGATACTACAATAAAGGGACCTACGGACAATCCTAACGTTTTCAAATAATTTCAATTCCATTAATGATCTTGTATTTTACTTAGAAAGATATCACAATATACTAGTATGCTACAGAATCTGCCTACAAACAACGTTGGATTGTTAAAGGTAGCACACTATGTATTACTTTACCACCTGTTTACGGGGGTAATTGCTGCACATACCATTCATAAACAAATATTAATCACTTTGGCAGCTTCAATGGGGCTGTACATACATTTGTAGCGTTTGAAGATACACGCGTGCATATGCATAGATACAACCGTCAGGTTTAATGTACACTATTCCTTAGAATTACTAATAGTTTATGTAGAGTTCAACAAAACAACGTAATGCGTGGCGCCAGTTACTAGTATTTCATTTTATGCATAACTTAAAATGAAACCGTTCATACCAGCCACAGTTAGCTGTACCTTTTTGGACGCCACTTGTCACCTACATTGGATGTTTTGGTTATAGAACCTTCACTGGCATTCTATTTCATGCACTGCCAAATGTCGAACGATGTTGATTTTGTTGTTGTTTGTGGGAAAAGTTTGGTAAAATTTGGGCATTCCGTAACACATCCAACAACAAAATGAATAACATAAGTTTTCTTTCTTCCTTTTTTTGTGATTGTTTTTTTTTTTTTTTTTTAACTGTTTCTACAACAATTGATTTGCAAGAAATAATTGTAAGTGAATGGTTTTCTAGGCACAGTACCAGTATTACATGAAATTGAAATCGCTGTCTTAAAGCTATTTTGACAATCTGTACAGTAAGGTATTATTCTTATTATTCTCAGTACGAAGATGGAAACAAAGGAAGAGCCAGAGCAATTGACGACCAGTGAAAGGAGCAAAGAAGAACCTACATGTAGGAGCGTGTTTGTGTACAGACTTATTCGACAGATCTTCTTTGTTCTAACTTGGTTTTCGCTGGTAAGACACCATCACATTTTGAGTACAGATAGACTTCATCAGTCATTGAAGATTATTATAGATCTACAGTTATTGAATTTGGCTGGGGTCGGTAGTTCCATATATATATATATATATATATATATATATATATACACATGTATATATATATGTTGTTTTGCGGAACTCAGTAAAGGACCGAGGCGTCCCTATATAGTTGAGTCTTCGGTAGTACAGCAACCCCCTCCCCAAATGCTTAGTAATTTCCAAACATTTTTGATCAGAAACTTACATTTTTATTTAATTAAAAAATCAATTTTGCAACATGTATATCTTTTACAGTGCAGAAAAGCCGATCCAATGTTATGTCATTTTTGCAGCATTTTCGAAATGTGCACGGCAATTCCAGATTTGACTGGACTCCCAACAGTTAATTGTTATCACCACGGACTTTAACATGGTTTACTTTTTTAAGGGACTGTATTCAGAGCTGTCCGGTCCTAGCCTGCCCGTCTTGAAGGCCAGGGTGGACAGCAGCTGGGAGGAGATATCACGTGCTCTCATCGGACGCAGCGTCGGGTTTTTCACGGGCTCTCTGGCAGGAGGTGTGATATGTGACAGGTTTCACAAACACGTGGACCTGGTGTTGATGCTAGTGTTACTCTTAGCGTCTGTGTCGACGGCGGCCATACCGTGGTGCCCTCTGATGGAATTGTTGGCCTTCGTCTTCTTCCTGCAAGGGTTCGCCGAGGGTATCATAAACGCTGGTAAAGAAGTGCTGTAATAATAATAATAATAATGATCAAATAATAAGTTCTTTTAAACCGATGTGAACAACAGTAAAACGTGCCATGCGGATTTATCATTTAGATACAATCAATTTTCTGGTTACATATATATATGAAGCGACGTGATATGAAATAAAGGGCCCTCTCACTTACTGTATCCTATGCCTCACTGTTCACGAGCTTCAACGGAGTCTCAGCTAAATTTGTTTTATACCGATTTTCTGCCAAAATGTGAAGGAAAGACACTTATTACTGTTCCCCATATTGGGATTTCTGTAATGTTTATGTAGAAAAAAATTACTGCTGTTACATCTTACATTCATTTTGTTTATTCTAGGAGGTAATACGGCGATTTTCAAGCTGTGGGGAGAGAGATCAGCGTCCCCCATGCATTCTCTCCATTTTGGGTACGGTGTGGGTGCCATATTGGCTCCACAACTGATACGACCTTTCCTAATACCAATCACCCGGAATGTCACAAGTGGGTACCTGGAAACGTATGGAAATCTGAGCAACCAATCAGATATTGGAGATCGTGAAATTGAGGGAGATTCCTCGATTCCCTCTGCAGATTCGCCCATTGAAGTCGCACACTTTATTGGTGCGGGCATTGCCCTTGTAATGGCTTTGACGTTTTTATTCTTTTACCTGAGGCCTCCACCTGCAGGATTTAAGCTGAAAAACCCAGTCAAGAACGCCTACCGGTCACTGTGTTCTCCTGCTTCGTGTGGTCAAGGAAGCGCGGTATACGGACTGACCATGTTAATCTTGCTCTTTGTCTTCTTCATGGATGTCGCCGGCGGGGAGCGGGTTTGGGGAAAGTTCGTGTTTTCGTTTGCCACTCAGGGCACGTTGCGCTTCACCATCGACGACGGGACATTTCTGAACTCCCTGTATTGGGCGTTCTTCACGGCGGGGCGGGGTCTAGGAAGTGTGGTGGCACACTGGGTGCCAGTGAGGTATATGATCGTGGCGGAAATAGCTGTCATAAACGTCACAGGAATAGTACTGTCGTCTGCTGGATACCGTATTTCTGAAGTCCTGTGGGCTTGCAACTGCGTGCTAGGACTGTTCCACGCCCCTCTCTTTCCCGGGGGTATGGCCTGGGCCAACTTATACCTTGAGATGACCAGCGTGGCCACGGCTGTTTTGTTGATCGGGTCGGCAACGGGTGGGTTCGTGTACCAGTGGATCACCGGCGCCCTCTTTGATGTCTACGGTCCAGACTCACTTGTGTACGTTGTTCTGGCCTTCGCTGTGTTGTTAGCTGTCAAGTTCCTAGTCATGAATCTCGTTGCAAGAATAAAAGGGACGCGCTTCGGGAATCAGGACTCGGCATCCGAGGAGGGAACTTCGTAATATACGCCCTGTGCTGGTGGTTATTTCCATGTGTGCGTCCAGTTTGTGTAGGGATATGTGTACGCTCTGTTGCCTAACACTTACCCAAAGATAAAACGTTTGCATTTTAATACGATTTTAGTCGATAGACACATAATGTTCAGCGCAGAGTACAATGACATGATTATTTTTTTCTGTTCCTCCTTTAAATTGTTTTGATAGCTGGTGTTGTTTACAATAAGGGTCTGGTTATCGGCGAATAAACAATAACGTCGAAAAGACGAAAAAAAAATGAATAAACGGTTATTAAGATGCTAGAATTAAGACTTTTCTGTTTTTCTCAAAGAGTATAAAGAGAGCAAAGGAGATATTAAACACAGTTTAACGTCACATTTAAAAGTTGCTTTATTAGATTATTTTCACCTTTTTTACATTAACTGATATATATTCCTTATTAAAATGTCTCTATTTGGGGATTGGTACAAACATATTAATGCACAATTTAGTAAACAATACAAATTATCAGACGTCCTATCCATCGATTTACACTTTATCAAGACCTGTATTGCTCTTATATGCAGTAGGTAAACACTTGTAACATTCATTCTATATTATATGACTGATGGCTGGAAAACCATGATGTTAACAGTAGAAGTGGGTAAAAGATTAATTCCCCGTGTTTGCATGTGTACGTGTGCTAGTACAGTAGACGCACGTCTTTGAGAGCGCGCGCGCGCGCGTGGGTACTGAGTATGTGTGTGGAGGGGTTGTTTTCATGTTGAGTTGTGGGCGGGTGAAGGCGGGGAAGTGCATGCACTCACATACGAGAGCTTGCGAACACACACGGCGCGCGCACACAAACACATGTCTTGTATAACGCACAACTTCCAATTAAAGTAGTGAATTCAGAAATGCGGAGTTAGGTAAGCCAAAGATATCATGATGTCACATGCCCCCCTTAACTGCATGTACGTAACGTACAAGTACACTGTAGGTCGCCCCATATCTCCTGCCCTAGACCATCGTTAAAGATAGCGAGGGAGAAGGGTAAATAAACGAACCTCGCATATCTCGAGTCACAGTCAGCTGACATTCCCTCCCCCTTAAAGACTTGACCATTGAGCTACGTCTTCAATTTTCGCGTACAGAAAGCTCACGGACAACCTAAATCATGCATCTAATGCTAGTCGTCGTTCTCGCACTTGTTGGTGCCGCTGTCTCGCAGGCTCCAATACCTTGCAGTAAGTGGAATTTTCTTGTTTATAATTTTAAATTAGTAATATTCGATAACGAACTACTCCTTATATTGGCAAGGTCATTGTGAATGTTATACAATATTGTAACTGTATATAATATGTGAAGTATATATAGAAGTGGCGTTCTTTTACTTGTTTTTATGTCAAAGTTTTGTTTTGTCATTTTTTCTCTCTTTTTTTTCGTCAGAATCTCCAGCACAGTGGTCGGCTACCCGGGTTAGGGTAAGTAGACTATACGACGTTATCTATAAGTATAAGGAAACTTCCACCTCTACTATTGCTTCTTTCAACGCTTTCTTCGAACAGAAAATTTTATATAATGGTAAAATACACATTTTTGCCAGATTTGGCTACAAATTATGATGGATATTGGATACCACCGCCCTAGCTGTGTCAGTAGTCCAGTATATAGGAGATTAGCACAAAGAGAGGGTTCAAACGTGATAACAAAAGGGGGCGTTTCCGAGTCACACGTATTGATAATAATTTGCCCGGTCTGTATAAGTTTATAACTCAAGTCTAGACAAAAATGAAGTAAGACAGCGATCGTCTTGGTAAGACGTGTCTGATATATTTGATAACGATGTAAAGTTGCGCATGCATAACAGAAACAATAGTCCAATTTTACTACACATTAAAAGCTTAAAATGATAATCAGAAAAACTTACGTGAATCTCGTTGCAGAATGCTCAGTTCAGTTATTTTCAAGCATGTAAATGGATCGTTTTACCCATTTTTATCGCAGTACGATTTCAAGGAGAAAATCGTCCGCAAGGAGCGTTACCATCATGATGCCATTTACCAGAGGACGAAGAAAATTGAAGAAATCGAACAGGGAGAAAGCAAGGAGTTCTATGAAATCTACCGATTCTATCCACAGGTAGCTTAACCCCTCTGCATTTCATCTCTCTCTCTCTCCTTTCCTTTTCTTTTATACTCTCTCTCTCTCTCTCTCTCTCTCTCTCTCTCTCTCACACACACACACACACACACACACACACACTCGCAAACACCCAGAGCCACAATTAGGCCTACATGTAAACTTACCCAATCAAAGGGCTTTATAAAAACGACGTTGGTTTTACAAGACGACACAATATTAACAGCACAAAGAGCAAAATTGCTTTGAATAGGGCCTATCATAAACCTCAACGCCTTACATAATTTCAGAGAAAACAATACATCATCAACCTGAAGACCAAATACTGTAACACGACAGCCTTGACCCGCCCCTTCCCAGTGTACGAGATCTCGCCCAACGACCGGTTCCTGGGAGAATACGTGATCGGAACTACTGCCGTGCCGGGTGAGGGTGTCACCATACAGCAGTGGGGAGGCATGGGCCGAGAACCAGGAAGTACGTGCTAAATACATTTGTGTGTGTGTGTGCGCGTGCGCGCGCGACTGCATGTTTGTGTGACTGCGTGTGGGACTGTATGTGTGTGTGTGTGCGAGTGTGCGTGTGCGCGACTGTATGTGTGTGTTTGCGACTTCATATGTGTGCGCGCGCGTGTGCGACTGCATGTATGTGCGTGTATGACTGCATATGCGTGTTCGTAAAAAGAGTGAGAGGGAGGGATATCGATGGAGCAAAGAATTCACATTTTCATAACATGTCTTACATATTGTTAATAACAGCAGACGAATTTCTGCTTTGACAGTGTATTTTAATACATTTTCCTAGGTCTCCTTGTAGAACAAACATTGTCTGTGACATGGCCTCTTCTCATTTCAGCCATGTTTAGTGGCGCCTGGACGCTGTCTGACTGTTTGTTAACACGCTGGGGCTACTTCAGTAACACCACTGGACCTATTGAAGAGAGCAGGTACTATAATCTTAAGGCGCATTTAATAATAACAATAATAGTAATTGCTATAAAAAAGTAATAATCAGGGGCGGATCCAGAGATATTTTCTGACAGTCTTCCAACTTATCTTTGTTGATCCATCCTCCATTTTTGACCGTCTTCCGACAGAAAAAATTAGATACCCGTCAATGTAAACTTGAAAATCTGACCGTCTTCCGGAAGACTCAGAAGACGCCCTAAATCCGCCCCTGATAATAATAACAATGGACCGTTTTGCAACCCAAGATTTCGCTCATTTATTAATGCATAAATTCACTTAAATCATTTGAAAATATTCAGAAGCATCATTTCGGTATTCAGTTTTATTATTTTCACTTTTCTGTCTGATATGCTATCTTTTGTCAAGTTTTATTTTTTTAAAACAGTAACTGGGAGATAAAACCCATCTAACTAAGATTTATTGGTCCTTCCTTGACGCTTATCATTTTTTACCTTTATAAATTTAATTTTCATTTGTACGGCATGTCCGTAATTTATTTGTTTCTCACATTTTTAACCCGTGTCGTTTGCATAGAGCGCTTAGACGAACTTGCCTGCTTGTGAGAAAAAATAATAATTATGACTACGTTTTCTGCTTTCAGTTACTACGACATCACCCTGGGAGTAAATCCTGAAGATTTCATCCAGCCTTCCAGCTGCATGGGATAAATTATCACACACCGATAGATGGCGACAACAGTCCAACTACATTTATAGACTGAATTCAAGCATTACCATTTATTGTGTTTACATTTTCACCACATAAAATACTGAACAAATACTTCACCGATATTTTAAGGACAAAGTTGACTGTTTCTAAAAGTACAATTTGGACTGAATAGAAAAAAAAACTTTTGTTAATATCAGTTGCAATCTATTATTGCAATATGCACACCACGTTTACTTTCAGCCACAAGTATCAAAATTAAAGTTATGTGATATATATTGTTTTTCTCTTTGTCTAAATTGTGTATATTGCGATTACTAGTAGTTTTAAATGAATAACGCTTAGATTACCTTTATTCATTTAAAACTACTGTACATGGTGGTCTGGGAAAGTACAGTACAAAGGGGGGGGGGGGTAATTCAATTACTTCTTTAGCAGTTAAATACTTGAATATATTGATAAAATACTGGAGCTCAACAAAATGTGCATTTTATTTTATAATCATATTACAATAATTGCAAACCTAAAGTATATACTTAAATAGTTAACAAACTATCTTAAGTTATAATAATATACTCGCGCATTTTCATATTCCGACTCCACCTCCCGTACCGTAAAGGTCTGCACTTGTCGGTTTATTTGAAATTCTGGCGAAGTTTTAGTTACTACCTGTCACCTCCACCTGTTAGAGTAAACTATTATGTAAATCAAACTCTACCCAGGAATCAATTCATTTTAAGCTGAATATCAATTGTGTACTGCTAAATTACGTATACTATGAACACAAATTATACACGTACACATGTAAAACGACACCGGTATTTTAATGAGATTGTAAAATCAATCACCACAAACTTGGAATTCAAAACGAAAGTGACAGTCATTTTGGCATTTTTAAAGATATACCAGTATATATATTATATATACTGATTATATGGAAAAGTGTTTTCTTAACAAAGAAGCTAGAAGAAGCTAGACGCAAAGACCAAAATTTTCGCAAAGACACAGATAATATTTGGTAGTTATTTGGTTTAAATCTAAGAATATACACATGCTAGTGCAGTCCTCCAATTATATTATATGGTTCAATTACATTAAAATGTAAAACCAGCAATCATAAATATAAGATGGAAGTTACATAAAAAGGAATGTTACGCTGATTTGATTTAAACGGTAACATGATTGTAAACTACATGTACATACAAATTTTTCCATCATGTCAATAAAAACAACAAAAACTTTAAATAATTTTGTTTTGTAAATATTTTTCACTAAAATAAAGCAACTTTATAATTTGAATAACAGTGATTTTGCTCAAACAAAACATAAAATAATAATTGTGCTAGTACTACCTCTATTACCCATTGTGGTTCTGTTAAATCTTAAGAATAATTAAAACATAAATTCAATCATTATAAACTTAACAAAGAAGTTATAAAAATAATCTTAGTAAATGTAACGCCATTTGGCATTTTTAAAAGGTAACAATTGTGCATGACACTAAAATTACCCTGTTTTTAACAAGAAACATAAGTTCACTGTTAAATAAATGTCTTCTGTAAGTTAACTAAGCAGTAGTAGCCTTGGCTTTAAAAATCCATTAAAATGAAAAAAATCATGTTAAATACTCTTAGGCTACAGTAATTTGGCAGAATGAGCATAAATGCATTGTGGTATTCTTCTTTAAACATTATATACAGAACTGTTAATAAACCCAGTCCTTAGATGCCCATCCACCACTTCTCCAAAGGATTTTACTCCAAAGATTTCCCAAAAAAAGGCACAAAGTTTATGGGTGATGGGCAAGAACCCAAAATAATTTTTTTCTCTACATGATGGCCAACAGAATCAAGCTTCTTAAATTCAAAAATGCAAAATGCCATGAACTGCTATTCATTTTTTATCAAAAAATTATCTCCACAGTACTAGTACATAAAAAGGGGTGTGTGGAGGGATAAATGTTGTTACCCAATCATACTGGACTTGTTTGTGATGATAACATAATATGTTAAAGACAACAAGACAGTCACCCTATTTATCTGGTCTGTTGTTTCATGAAGGACCTCAACACCTCCACAGCTTCAGGCATGTTCCTTCTTCCAAATCCAATTCTCACAAACTTATCCTCAAACTCAAAGATGCTCCCTGGCACCAGCAGCAGTTCCGCCTCATTCACCAGTCGCTCACACAGCCCTGCTGCACTACCGCCCCCTAGCGCCAATGCCTTGGGCTTCAGCCTGGCAAACATGGTGGTGCACGCTGATGGGCGGTGCCACTCAAAATATTCCTCATACTCGTGAAAGAAATCGCTCAAAACATCAAGATTGCCACGTATCACTCGAACAGTTCTGTCGATTAATTTCTGCTTGTTCCTCAACGCCATAATTGACAAAATCTCACTGGGCGCGGATGAGCAGATGGTGAGATAGTCTTTATATTCCGCCATCTTCTCCATTAGGGCTGCATCTCGCGTGCACAACCAGCCAATCCTCAGGCCAGGCAGTCCGAATGTCTTGGAAAGTCCCGACAACGTCACAGCATTCTCGTACATGGACACTGCAGAAGGTAATGGATCTGATCCATCATTGTCACTCAAGCGGTACATTTCGTCACAGAACAAGATGAGTTGTTTCTCTCTACAGAGGTCTATGATCTCCTGCCACTGGGAGAGACTGGGCACAAATGCTGTTGGGTTGTGGGGAAAGTTGACCACTAAGAAACGCGTCTTGGGCTGGATAAGCTTAGCAAGCTGCTTCAAGTCAAACTGCCAGCCACTGTCTTCTTTGTACTCTGCCTTCCAGTATGAAACCTGAAACAAGACATTTGGTTATAATTCTTATTTTTCTTACATCACTTATTGTAACATCTTTCCAACAATTAAATTAAAAACAAATTCAAAAAAAGTCTATCAAAATATGATGAAATGATCATAACATCTCAAAAAAATAAAGCTGTTAATCATTATGACTACGTAAATATGCATTATAAACATGTATAATAGTAAATAAACATTATTTCCAAAAGGCAAGTTTAACATAGTAATGTTGCATAAGATCCAGAAAATTATCACAGAACACCCCAGGATAATTTGGGTCATGTTTTCTTTTGTTTTCTGTTCCCTTCGTGACAGTGATACGTGTTGATTTTTTTTTTTCCATCTTAGACCCCATTCCCATAGATTTTAGATCGATCTATCCCTGTGGGGAGTCTAACTAAATTTCTGTCAGCTTAGCTGGCTTAAGCGTCTGTCCTGCCTACTAAAAGCTGTAAGGGGGTAATTAACTATGGTAACTGCAATTTAGCGTGAACCCCAGGGAGTTAGGTCGATCTAAAGCTAAATCTCTGGATCGATCTAAATCTCTGGGAATGCACGTTTATATACAATATTCCTGCAGAAAAGGGGAAACTGTCAGTAACACACAGGTTGCTGACAGGTCATGACTGCTGGAAATGCCACAGGACCTGCAGGATTTTTTATATCCCAGCTCCTTTAGACTGACAAGGTTTATTTGAAAATACAATACGTGAAAATAAATCACATGTATACACAGACAAAGGGAAATAAAACACTTCAGACCAGCAGAGAATTTGCAGGACCTTCAGATTTCTTGCAATGCAGGTATTTCAGACTTTTAACATCTCCAAAGTCTTCCCCATGTCTGCACTTGTTCAGTAAATCTGGTGCAAGTATGTATTTTACACTGAACATTCCATTAACATTTCATATACCTCAGTGTGCATATTCAACACTCCATACAAGCTCTGGTAAGCAGGGAATGTGACCACTGCATGGATATCATCCGGCCCATGCTTCTCTATCAGCAGCTGCACTATGGACTTCATGGCCAGGTAGATCCCTTCCTGGGGGGCAATGACCAGCACCTGGGGGTCACTGACCTCTGGGTACATGCTGGCTATCTCCTTACGGAGCAGTGGGTGACCCTGACTGTCTGTGTACCCCAGGGAGAGGTTCTTCCAAAGAGACTGGCACTCCTGGTCTGCCAGTGAGACCAGCTGGAATTGTGGTAATTTTGACTGATCATGTGTAAAACACAATGTTGATGGAGGTTTATCAAAAACTACAATTCAAATTTTATTTTGTAGCTGTTGACCGAGCTCCGTTTCTTAAGGCTGTAAAATTGGCAAATAAAAACAACAAGTAAATACAAGTGATATTGGTAATATATTCAATGTTTACTTTTTATGGAGCACTTTAATTACTATTTAACCAAACGTCTTTTATTTTAGTACGTACTGTACAGGTAATTGCCAATTTTATACAAGATTACACTGGCGTAAACGATAATAAGAAAAAGCTAATGCGGAGAAGAATACTAAGTCTTGAAAAATAGGTTTTTTAATGCACGTGCATATAATCTGATGGGTGGCAGCCTCAACCTTGGACTTTGAGCGACTGATGTGAGAAAGACTTGACCAGAAACCTGAGGGTCTCTCTCAGCCAAAAACAATAATAAACAGTCTAACGCTTGTACCTCATTCATGCTCATTGACTCCGGGTCCGAACAGCAAAGAAGGTACTTGGTTTTGAATTCATATTTGGCAAAATATCTCTCTAACTTAAACGCAGCCGGCGCGCAGCGACGAATCATCTCTAAATACTACTTGGACTTTAAATTTCTGTAATCAACAAATGGGTAATGGCTTGTTGCCGATACAATGTTTGAAGTCTGCTTTGCTACACCGGTTGAAATGTACAACAATGAGTAAATTTACATAATCTATAGGTAAAACCAGTTACAGCGTTAGATCAGTATCGTTAACCAGTTACAGCGTTAGATCAGTATCGTTAAAAGAAAAAGAAAAAATTTATTACAGTAAAAATGAGCTTGTCTTGATAATCATAACACCTGCCGGCAACTTCCTGCTTGACATCGTCATGCACCTTGTGTAGTGGCGTCAGAGGCGGCAATTTTTGTTGTTTGAACTTCTCGAAAGCTTGGTTCTCGGTAAGTTTCCGACTTGTGTGAGTGTTTGTATGTCTAGATCAAGGCGATAAGGCATCGGATATCTTTGACGCATGATACAATTCGTTTAATTGTCAGTTTTTCGCACAGACGCCACAAAATGGATGATGTGAGAAAGCTTGGTGATGTCATACTGACGTCAATGCTGACCTATTTGCACATTGACGACACGCTATAATTATAGCAAGTACTGGGAAATACGGGCTGAGAGCAACGCCACAGACATTTCTATTTTTAAATCACAATGTGCGTCAGTTTTGGAAAATAATTTACATTTGTGCTTACTGGCGGTGAAAACGTGACTGTGACAGATACTGTGTTTTATAAATAGTGAAATGATCTGGTTGAACGCGTATGTCGGGAGGAAAGGGGGGGGGGGGACGCTTTTTTTTTCTTTGGAGAAACAATAGCCTATTCCGGTTACATGATTTATTTATTCTTTGTAGATCTAAATGAATTAAAATTATTTGGTAATTGTTATACGCAGTCATGGTATTTTTGTGATGATTCAATCAACAAATGAGTCATTGAAAATATTTTTAAATGTAAATAAGTTTGGTATGCTAGGGCAACCTTTATATTTGTGTAGGTGTAAGTACAGTGCGTATGCTAGACAAATTAAAAAAAAAGGTGGAAAAAACAGCATTTTAAGTCACTTTTTGCCTAACTTTCACTTTAATTGTCTCGGCATTCCTCTTCTTTCTTTTCCTATAGCTGTAAACTAGAGATTTAATTCTTTTCTACTGGTGACTCATGCAGTAGAGTTAGGAATTAATAATGCCTTGGGGCTTGACTGACTTGACACAGGGCTTTGTTGGTTTTCATTCACAGCTGAATGTAGGTTTAACACTGTTGTCTGAAATATGCAATTTACGTTTGCTTTTATAAAAAAACTAGGTACCAGTATTTAAAGCATTTAAAGTGAAAGGCTAAAAGTAAAGTCTTGGGTTATTTTATTTTCTTTATACTATGAAATTACACTAAATTGCCTAATTAAATTTTTGCTTCTTTAAAAATCTAGGATTAAAATACCAGATGAATATTTCCTATTGTTTAACAGGACCATATAATATTGCTGTGCAAGTTTATCATTATTTTTGCCCTGTCGGGAAAGATCAATGTGTTAGGTGTGACACTGCACAATGTAACCACATGCAGGTACAATTTTGCTTGACAACATCTTGGCAATTTATAATGAAAAATATGGTTTAATCACAGTTTACCAATATGCAAAATTAAAGTCTAAGGCATTTATTTATCAGCCCAAGCATCCTAATCAGTACTTGCTGCATTTCTGGACTTATTGTAAACACCAAAACATATTTTAACCAGGAGTGGGGGCTTGGGGGCTTATAACCAAACTTTCCCTTACTTTTTTCAGCTGTACTTTTATGCAGAGGCTCCAGCAGTAACTTAACTTTTTATATTCAGTTAGCCCCCACTTAAAATATGTGCCTTTTCACATCAGCATCTGTATTTTGAAATGCAATTAATTATATGCAATGTAATAAATAGATTAATCTATTTCACTGTCACTTATTTGGCCAAATATCTGTCAATAGACAGAAAAAAAAAACACTTGTGAAACACTATGTTTTCAACACAAGACAATATATTATACATTTACCTATGTGTTGTTATCCTTTCAGTCTCCAGAGGTCATTAATATGCCTAAAAGTGGCAAGGGCCTCCACTGCACTATCATAGATGGCGCTCCGCATGTCAACCTGTTCCACAGTCAGGAAATGTTTAACATTGGTCCGAACTATAACAAGTGGGTTCAGTCAGAATGGGACTCAGACCTTTCTTCACTCACTTCCTTCGGGTTGCAGGCACAAGATGTGTTCCCAGCAGATGACCCCAAGTGTTACATGTACTACTCACTAGAGGGATTCTTGATGCTCTTCTTCAAGAAAGTCTGCATTCATAGTCTGGATGCTCAGAGAAAAATGGATTATATAAAGTTTCTGAGGCACGTTTGTCGTGTTTATGCACAACAGGTAGGTAGTGATAACCAGACATCCCGTTCCTAGTTGTTTTTAGCAATAATAAAAGATCAACCTGATCTCTTTTGGAACAATAGTGACTTAACAACTGTATTACAGTTTTATGATTATTTAGAAAACAGCATCTTTTAGACTAGATTTGTGCCTTTGTCTGCTCAAGAGTCAATCTTTAATGTCATTATTATGTTTCATTTTAACTGTCATTTTCTTATCTTAAAGCATTCTGTTTTGTTTTTCTGATATTCAGCTTAAGTGTTTGGAATTATTATTAATTTAAAAATCGTGATGATTTAATCTTTAAGTAATATAGTGGTATTACTTACCAAACTCTTTACAGATGCAGTGTTACAAATAAATATTGCTCCTAACCCCCCCACCTGCTATGAATTGTATTTTGAAACTTTGAAGGTGACCAAAGTATTATCAGACTCGGAGGGGAAGAAGACCGCCCAGGTTGACCTGATGGAGGCTGCCAGCGGAGATTGGGGAGAGGGGTGGTCAAATCACACGTCAATGAAAACACCTCAGTTACATGAGAAGTCTAGTCCAGTTAGCAGTATACTAAGTCCTAGTATAAAAGAGAGAGTCTCAGGTAGGTTGATATCAAACACCTAGCATAAAAGTCTCAAATATATTTTTATTAGGGGAAAAATTGCATGGTTGCTTTTAAGCAGTTTTGAACAAAAGTGTAAATGATTTTAGGGCAATTTTCTTAGTGTTTGTTTCCTTTTAGTTTACCAGTAGATTTCAAGCACCATCTATCAACCAAAACAAAGTCTCCTCATGGCAAATGCTTTTGAAACAAAGATTTCCAATTTGTGAAGACTAAGTGATTGTTGTTTATTTGCAGTCCCAGCAGTCAAAAAATCAAAGTTGAGCCAGAAAGTAGATGAACTACTTGAACGTAGGTCCCGCGAGAGCAGCCCCAATGTGGCAGATCACGGAATGAATGGCATGAGGGCAGCAACTGGTCACCAGGGGTCAGCACTAGAGCAGAGGAACGGGTCACATGAAAGGAGGTTTGTATTGAATCTGTGTACTTTGATATCTTTAATATTGGTGTGTGTATGAACAGTTATGCATATTATGTATATTTGGTTTTGCTTTGAAGGAAAAAGCATTGACAACATGCTTATTTTTGCTGATGATATTTTCATTATTGGTGTAGGAGTATTGTATTTGGGAAACAAGCCACAGATGTTTTCATGCAATGTTAAAGTGCCATGATCTGATTAATTGATGAATATTTATGATGTTGTGTATCTTCCAAACAAAACAATTAGCAACACAGTTGATACAAAATTTATGCTGATTGATATAGAAACTGATGCAAATTTAATAGTGCGTAATGAAAACTTTTACGAATCTACAACAAAATTGGTATGGTATTGACAGAAATTATTGCATCAAAAAACACGCAGTGATAGTGTAGATATCAGTTCCAGAGTATGGATTTTTTTGTTTTTTCCAGCATCAGGGAAAGCCCAACAGGTACAGGCAATTCCAGTCTCCAGTCTGGTGTCCCTTGCATTGCCTCTCCTCCAGTGGTCACGCCAGAACCCATCAAAATAAAGGTGGAGCCACCAGATGATACCATGGAGGAAAACAATCACAGAACTGACCAATCAAACACAAAAGAAATCTCAGGTGACACATTAGGAACCAGTCCCTATTCAACCATGTGGATGCCGAAAATAGGTCAAACATCTTCTCTAGCACAAGGTCAAGGTCAGCCAGGTCAGGCACAGGGCCTGGCCGACCAAGGGGACAAACTGACCACTGGTGATCACCCAGTGGCCATGCACCTGAGAAGGAAGGGCTACTCGTGCTTAACTTGCAAACAGACTTTTGCCAACGGGAAACAGCATTGGATGCACAAACTGGAAACGGGGCACGGACAAATTTTCTGTGAAATCTGCCACACGCGGTTCTTGATCGAGGAAGACCTGGTCGACCACGTGTGTCACGGTCAGGACGATTCGCTGCAGTTACATTGCCTCAAGTGCAACAAAAAGTTCCCCAATTTTCAAAGCAAAAAGGCACATCAGCGTTACTGTGGTCGTAGTTATCGCTGCAATGACTGCAAGCAGAGGTTTCCCGACCCTGACAAGTTGCTGTCCCACAGGATCGTGTGTACGGGGCCCACAGCGAGCACCGACGGCGACATGGCGAAAATGCCAACTGAAAAATCGCGCACCAGAAAGGTGGCCGCGGCTGCCAAGCGCAAGCTAGAGGAGGCAGACATTGAAGAGGGGAGACCTTTACTAAACTGTGTGTACTGTGGGGCGTGGCTAGAGAACGCTGAGTATGGGAAGCATGTTCAGAGGTGTAAAAAACAGTTCAGAGGGCGGGATAAAGGATTCAAGTGCTCGGACTGTGAACTGCGGTTTAAAACGGCAGAGGAATTAGTCTCGCATCGTGTTATACATACAAATGCCAAATGATCCACACCCCATAATTTCACAGAACTGGTCCTTCTCTTAAATATGAACTCTTTTTTTAATAATTTAAATGAAAGAAGCTGTAAACGGGATTAATTTTATTATTTTGAAAGAATGGGACAAGTCGCGGAATATTTGCTGATCTGTCGACAGAGGCAACCGTTTTAGAATTGTACTGCGCCAGCGTCACGTTAGATACGAAACTTACGTACTCTTGTTTCTATGTCGTTCTGAAGGTGATTCTGCACACGCTTTTAATCTTTGTGTTAGATCGGCTAAAAACACTATAAGATGGCATTTATATTTCTGCAGATTTCAGCTGCTGTGAGCATATAGGATATTTTGAAATGTGACAGTATTATGACAACCCGGCCTTTGTGACAGTCATTTTTCAACCAGAGAATTATGAAGAGAAGAGTAAAGTCCTTATTACCTGTAATGTCAAAAATCTGAAGCCCTTGGAGGATTATTTTTTTTAGAAATTTGGTGCTTTATACATTGAGTCATTAGTACTTTAACTTACGGTATCTGGTTGAACCGCCACGAGATTTCAAGAAAATAGTTTTGAATTAATCATATGTACATGTATTTGCTTTTGATAAAATCCTTGTAAAGAATCTGACTAATATTATTGTTTTTGTATTTTTGCATTCTGGGTGCTCCAGAAAAGAGTTGCTCATATGGAGCTCGAAAATATTCCTTTTACATGAGGCATATTGAATAACTAACAAATACTGAAGGGTTGCCAAGTTCATTTATAGACGGCGCTAAAAGTGTGTCTTGTAACTGTGCTAGAGATAACTGTTGTAAACAGTCCTTGTTGTACCTACTAAATTATGCAGCTAAACCGATGTTCCCAGCTTTAATTATATTGTCCTTGTTTAGTTATTCTCGTACCGTAGATGATTCAATAACAATATGCTCATTTACCATGTTTAAGCAACTGTGTTCTTTTTTTCCCGTTGTAGACTCAACAGGTGTTACAGGTATGGTAATACTATGTTTGTAGGCTGGGATACATTGGAAGGACTCGAATAAATGAAAATTGAATCTGCCTACTTGAATATTTTTCATTATTATTTTAACGAACCGGTTACAATTTTGCACAACCTCAACTGGAAAAAAAGGTCGGGGGTGGGGGGGGGGGGGTAAGGAAAAAAAGTATAAGCCTTTTACATTCTCACAGTTCAACAGAAGTTTCATAGGGTGCGCTCACAACGAAACTGTCGTGCTTTGTAGATCTTTCCGATTCCGCAGGGACTTGCTGAATGCAATCAGATTAACGGGCTTCCTCTTGTTTTTCTGTATTTTTATCAACGCCAGGTGGAGGCGTGTAAGTCTGTTAACCTGACTGCATTCAGCAAGAGTCCTCACGATAGTTTCACTGTGAACGCACTCTTACTTTTCCTTCAGCGCCTGGGTGAGTACCAGTGGCGGTACTGTTAACCTGCGTGAGTGTTGTAGGCCGTCAACGGCTGTGCCCTAGCCCACGGCCCTGAATAAGAGATCATTCCCAGACCCTATCGTACTAACTTTGGATCGAACTATCTCCGAGGGGATTCTCGTTTAATTGCAATTAACTTGGGCGGGTTAGATTTCTGTCACGCCTGCTGAAGCTGATATGGGGTAATTAACTATCGTTTAGCAGCTTTAGTGGGCGTCCCAGACGTCTAAGCCACTTGGGCTGAAAGCAATTTAGCGAGGGACCCCGGGGAGATGAACCGATCCTGTTAGATCGATATAAGGATGGAAAACCAGTCTTAGACCTAAAAAATAATACAGATAAAAGCCTAACTTTATTCCCGGAACCTACCTTGCAAGTAAGGCTTGACTGTGAATATAAAAATAAACGCATTCAACGCATTAAAAAGGATTAATATTGGTTATCCGCTGAATAAAAGATTATATCGACCGTCAACACATGGAATAAATGCACCTCAACAGGTTATAGTTTACTGTGTAATGAAAGAGCTTAAATCAATTTGAATTAATAACGTGAGAGGTTGGTTTGATATCTTGTGAACGCGTCCCTAAGCGCATTCGATCAACTTGAGAAGTATGAGCCTGGTTTCCCCACCCAAGCCAACACCCTGCGGATCCATGGGTGAATTTACCTACTGGTGTCTTAAGAGACGAACACGTGAACTGGGTTGTGCCCTTAAATACTTCAAGTTTTTTTTCTTGGCGATGATACGAACTCGTGTCTCACCCCTCACCCCAATTTCTTCAAAAAACTAGTACAAACGGTCTCTGAAAAGGAAAGTCTGCATTAACTTAAACCGAAAGTCAGGGCTAACTCCACTAGTACCTGCACGTTCGGTGTTAATATCTATTTTTAAATCACATACGGAGATTACGCTTTTAGTTTCCTCTCACAACGCGCATTCTCAGACCTCACCTGAGACCTCACGGTATTAACTACCGGGACAGCGTTAATAGAAAGCCTGGGGGACTTCACTAAGAGCCGTGTACGCCGTTAACGCACACCTGTGTCCGGAGAGCGTTCGAGTCTCTTCATATTAACGGTACATGATGAACATGTGGGGACATTTTGTCAGCCACGAGTTGCGTCTCTTGTATTTATACTCACGCAAAGCGGGCGTCACTGTCTTAAGGCAAATCTGAACGCAGGGTTTGCTTGAAAAAGCCACCGATTTCAGTCTTTTATTGCATAGAAAATAAATGAATATTGGTGTAAAAATTAACTGCCCTTACTGTTCTGCTGTAAACAACAGTGTAGTTTGTGGTACAGTATATCCGTGTGTGAAGAAATCGATTTTTTTTGTTTCATTTTCATTTTAATAGTTGACTGGGATTTCAAAGGCCGTCTATGCAAAATATAAGGCTTACTGGATAATGCAATTAGAAAGTGAGACAAGTGTTTTCGAAGAAAATAAAGTGAAAGTAGCAAATTATTGGTGAGACTTTACAAAAAACCTCCTTTAATGTTCATCTAAAGTTTGGTTCAAATGACACTCAATGAAGACTCGGTTTCTTTTCAGTTATTTCCATATGCAGTTGTAAAGACAACATTGTAAAGAAATAAAATGTTGATCACAGAGAGAGAGAGAGAGAGAGAGAGAGAGAGCACATAAAAGTATGGAATGAGTGGGTATTAGCAGACTTTCAAGTATTTATTTTAAATAACATTAACATAATGCTTTTTTCATATTAAAAGTGCCACTGTCACTATTTCCCCGTGATGTAAGCCTGATTAAACAGGGATGTTCACGTCGAAACGAGCTTTGAAAAGCCCCTTATCAGGTCAAAGTTACCCTTTAAAAGACATCACACTGACATCGCATTCATTAATGATGTCTTGCTGATGAATAGCTGGCGGAGGTTTGCGCTTCCGTTCCTATCACTCTCACGCGTCGTAAAACATGCTCGGGGATTGCAATTAAAGTTGTCGCTCTAACTCTTGTAGATCTAGGGTTCTAAGGCGGGGATGGGAGAGGGGAGGGGGTGAGGTTGGCACGTGGGTGAAATTTCATCTGATTCTGCATATGTATACCCTAGTGTATATATTCTGATTTAATCCAGGCTCTAAGAGCTTTAAAGCCAACTCAACTGTGTCATTTGTCTCACCGCAATCAAAAAGAGTTCAACCATAAGATCACTGTAATCTTTTATTGTTACTGTAATTTTATTCTGGCCTCAGTCTGCTTTATATCAAGAGTATTCGGGTACTGTGCTCAAAACAGCTATTAAATCGCCACCTCAAGGTAAAATATTTCACAGTACAGAAAAGCTACATACACATATTAATGAGAAAATATAAAACATAAATGTCCGCCGAGCCGCTTCTGCTGGCTCAGGCGCATTATTTTAACAGTTAATATATGACACCGTCACATGCGTGTAATCAGTCGGGAAAAAAGATATTCATATCAAGTTACTGTGGAGACCCCCTTTTTTGGTGATTATGGCTTGGTTAAAGCTGGACGTGTTTTAACCTTCTCTGAAAATTGCTGAAAGAATCTTAACTAAAAAGACAAGGGGTTGTTCAGAGAAACTCTACTGGAAAAGATAAAACACCGCTTTTCAAGCTTTGGTTATAAGACTGACTCTAATATGAACCCCCATTCAGTCACCTTCATATCCAAAATAATTATCGCGACGTCTGTAAGGTAGTGCACTGAAGAGAATGAGGTTATACGCTAGCGCCAAGACTATAAAAATCATATCCGTATTATGGTGAACATATTTTAATGCAAAATATTCACCTTGATGATGGGATTAAGTTGCGTCTTTTAAAATCCAAATGCTAGTACCCAGTACGATGATGAAATTATAATATGTGCTCGTCTTTTAATGCAAATCATTGCGTTATGACATAAGGATGGGAAGGCCTGTTGTATACCACAAATGAGACTACGTGAGAAGTGGAGAAAATCCAACGAGACGTGAGTGAATCGCCTCGTGCTGGTTGCCTTCGATGTCTGCGTGGCATCTGAAAGTTTGTAAGTATATCACATCAAGTAAAAAGTCTCTCTCGAAAAGAGAATCGATGGTTTTGTTTTGTTCATGCCGCCAAAAGAATTCTAATTGCTTTATGTACTATGTATATGGTCGTTAAATTTATACTTCTCTGTTAATGGCATGCCGTACCATATCATAATTCCGTACCATATCATAGTTCAAATAACTTGCGCGCGCGCGCGCGGTGTGTGTGTGTGTGTGTGTGTGTGTGAGAGAGAGAGAGAGAGAGAGAGAGAGAGAGAACTTGTTTCTAATCTGTGTGCATGCGTGAGCGTATGACAGAGAGTGTGTGAGCCTATGTCTCTCTCTCCCTCTCTTTCGGTCTGTATTTTTGTTTGCGTGTGTGAGTGATTGTGTTTGTGAGTGTACGTGTCCGTATTTATGTGTTTGCGATTGGCATGAATTACGTGCGCGTGTGTGTGTGAGTGTGTGTGTGTGTGTGTGTGTGTGTGTGCGTGGAGGTGGGAGGGGTGCCGGGATTGCCTTGCATGGAGAGAAGACAATCGAGAGAGGCCAGATAGAGCCTTACAATGAGTCTGAAAAAAGAAAACAACTGGTCAAGTGGATAATTTTTGCACTTGTTTTCATATTTACACCCTCTTGTACGGCGATAATGTTAAAACAATACTGTGGATTTGTTATATTTACAAACGTGCATCTTTTAAGACGAACACGAACCCTCTATTTATTGTGCGCGGTAGCAGAATAGAACATGGAACGTTTATACGTATAACTGATAAAGCTAATTCTCTACCAAGTACAATAGCCAAAGAAGACTACTGGAAGAGAGTAAATAAATCCATATTTACAATGTTACAGACAGAGGGGGTGGGAACGGAAACTGACTTTTATTACTGACCAGTAAAATAAAAATAGTGACACCCAAGATTCAACGTTAACGTTAATGTGTGCAGAAGGTAAGTGCAGGTAGGCTACGACTTAGCAAAATCTCACTGCTATGGCAATTAATATGGTGAGTCAGCATCGTGCATGGAAACTGCTGAAAAGCCACAGTTCAGCCACAAAATGTCAAATTTTCCCCGAGGGCTGTGTCATTTCTTTAGGAAACTGAAACGTGTAGGTCCCTATGTATTGTGTTTTTTCCTGCTATTGCGTACATACATACAAGTTGTTTTTGTATAGAAACCTACGATTTTTCGAAATAATTGAGTTTTACATAAAAAGCATAGATGTTATGAAGTAGTTATTCGTATACGGGCACACACCATTTAGGTATAGTTTCATCGTACGAAAATGCATTCTACCTAATAAGATGGATGAGGGACGTTTTATGGTTTGTAGGACTAATATTGTAAGGTATGAGTGTTTGTTTAGATTAAACTGCTTCAAGATGATGATAAAATGTTATGAACCGCTTATGTGTTGGACATCCTTTAACATTCAAATACGATAACCTATTTGAAAAACTGATCTCATTATTGCGTCAACCAATAAGCGACATTGCTCTCCTACACAATCTAGTGCCATCAATTATCATTTAATAATAATACCGGCAGCTCAATGATTCTGGCGCCCATTGAGCTTTTTAGCATGAAGGGCGGGTTATTTTGAGATAAGGTAAGCCTAATATTAAATTATGTATGGAATGGCTGGATAAGTAAGAGAGGGATATAATGCCTGTTGGTGCCGACGACGCTTTATACGGACACGAGAAATATGCAAGATACGCCAGCCATTATTTCAAACCACCATCAAATATAAAATCACGTACAAAACAGATGATGAGCAAATATGCGTATACCTAGCTTTACCTGAAGTCAAGACAAACCCCAGTGGATGGAGCCCCCGTAAGGTGTTGAAGCGGAGTTAGATGAATTCTTTATTGCTTCAGTCTTGAGGATATACCGCGTTAACGTCTAAAAACACACGCACGCGCACGCGCGCGCGCGCGCACACACACACACACACACACACACACCGTTTTTAATCTTTTAGTTCGCTTGGCGAACGTATTTTGGCCCACTCTCACAAATACGTACTAAAAAAAGTCTGCAATATTTGAAATTCATTTGCACTGGTGTGTATTTAATCTTGACTATCAAATATTGCAAACGCCCCGACTTTGAAGTGAGAGAGGGCAAAAAAATGTTCTCCAAGAATAGCACATCGGGTGTAACAGGTAGCTTTAGCAATATCAATGGCTGGCACCTTTAATCAAGTGGATTTTATTTTCAGATTTGACAACATGTTGAGTAAATGTGTAGGCCTACTCATATCATGTTGCATATTTAACATTTTATGAAACTCATTGTTGATAACATAGACATATTCTCCCTCATATTGCAGAAAATAAGATAGGAAATAATTTCCCCAGGGTTGCTGTTTTAGTGTGATGTGTATACAGGGATATCATATTTTAAGTGAACGACTGAAGTGGCAATGTGGCATCTGCATTTAAAGATCATTTGCAAGAATGGCTTGATTTTAAGCTTAAAGAGACAGAGAGCGAGTTTTTAGAGTTAAATACATGTACTACTCATGAAGCAAAGTTCGATCGCTGAACATTACGATACCTTTATCTTAATGACTATTGTGAGCGACAACACCATTATCAGTATTAATTCATTCAAAACAAAGTACCCTTACATGTTTTCCTTAATACTTCGAATGTTTATTACTCTCTCTCTCTGCGATCTTTTTTTTTCAATGACTACGGCAGTGGATGCAGTTTGAATGCTTATGCTTTTTAACAACTGACGGGGTTTAAGTCACGTAATTCCGGTTATGCACCACACGCTGACTTTGTTTTGATACAAAAATAGAAATCTTCACCTGCATCCTTGAAGTTTTAATTTCTTTTGCAGTGCGTGGGTCATATCGTACACAAAAAGCGAAGATGAAACGGAAATGTCGTCCAGTGATCTTCACTATAGTTTGGACTCTAATCGGATGTAGTTTCGTCAGCATCATCACTCAAAGCTTCCGACAGTGTAAGACGTGTTATCCTTCAACAAAAAACCTCAATTTGGAGACCAAAGTGGGTAGGTGAGGCTGCCTTAATACGCACGAAAAGAAGTTTACTGTGGTTATTTTCATTGTTAAGATTTCTTTTTTTCACTTTTGTCAGTATATATTCACAGAGCAAACCCTAAATGTCATAAGACCAGCTTAATTCTGTGAACTTGCAAAAAGTCAAGATTTTTCCTTTGACCGAAATACAGCTTAATCGAGATTCATGTAGCTATGCTGTCATAGGCCCCATTCAGAATAAGGGACCAACTAGTCCGAGGGTCAAATATGGCCGACCCACTTGAATACTTCCCCATGTGATATCTATTCAGTGTCTATCAGCTGATAAGACGGCAAGCTTTGTAGTGGGTTGCCATATTTGACCCGCGGACAAGTTAGTCCCCTATTCTAAATGGGGAACTTACGGGATTTAACAAAGATTCTGTTTTCCAGGCACTTTCCAAACACCATCGGCGAGTCCAACAGTCAGAGCAATGTCAAATGAAAAAGTGACTAGCAAGGTTGCATCGACAAGAGTTCCTGAAATTGCAACTGCTGTCTCCAAAGTCTCACATTATTTACAGAACGTGCCGTTCACTTTAGTTACAGGGGCAGACAGCTTCTATTTTGGAGGACTTGCTAATCTGGTTGGGTCCATTCATTTCTGGGAACCCAAGAGGAACATTGTTGTATACGATTTTGGACTAGAGCAAAAGCAAATTTCCAAAATAAAGACCTGGTGTAAAACGAAACTGGTAACTTTCGATTTTAAGAATAAACCAGAACATGTTTCAAATTTACTACTATACGCTTGGAAACCGCTTGTGATTAAAGAAGCCGTGGACAGATTTGGAAAAATATTTTGGCTTGACGCCGGATGTGACGTCAGAGGACCTCTAAACAAAGTTGACGAATACCTCCGCCAAGACGGTCATTTCTTCGTGCAGGGGCAAGACACAGATATGACCGGCTTCGTTCATCACAAGATGTTTGATTACTTCCAACAACCCCGGACCCAATTTAAAGGAAAATATTCATTTGCCGGTGGTATAAGCGGCTGGGTAAAGGACAGCCACGCCTACACGACTGTCTTACCAAGATGGACGTCCTGCGCTTTGGACGTGGCCTGTATCGCACCCAAGGGGTCCAGTATGGGCAATCACAGGTTTGACCAGGCAGCTCTCTCTATATTAATGTATAGTTCTGGGATAAAAGTTACCGCTCACACTGAACTCTTGGCTGCTGAGAGGAGGCAGTTAAAATCAAACCAGCACGATCCTAGCACCTACGTTATATACACGGCAAGAGGGCGCAGTTCCGATTACAAGGCAGATTTGTGTCGCAATACTTCAGTGTTTATTCCTACTACAACTGGCTTATGGAGTACTATATAACACGCTTTGAACAAATGCTGGCTGTCTTTTTAAAAGTGCGGATTGGATGGTATATAAGTTTAATAGGTAGACCTCTTGGTCTGATCTTAACTACTTTGGTAAGCGTGCATCTTATTAATAAAACACCCTTTAAAGATTTCAGTTGTTTTAAATAAATTCTTTAACTTAATTTAAACGGACGGGGTTTTTCGGGAGGAAGGATGTCATAACTTTTTTTCTCGGGTGGCTGCAATCTTATGTAGTTCTCGAAAAAAAAGTTTACGCCTCTCCACGCGTCTGGTCGAATAGAGTCGAGATTTAATTACCGTGCTCCTGCAGGGACGAAGCGCGTGAGAGGCGGAGAGACCAATCAGGATTAAGCGGTCTTCCTTTCATGTAGGTCCGCCATATTTAAGCTGTGGACCAGTTAGTACTCGAATCATCTATTCTGAATGGAGCCTTACGCACACTATTAACGCGACTGCATGCGTTCGGGCGTTTAAGGGTTATAGTATGTATATCAGCTACATTAAGAAAATCAAGTCAATATACCCAAACCAAAATTTATTAAGTTCAAAAACAACAACTTGCAGCCTTCAACAAAGATACTTTCCATATCCCCTAATAACATCTTGGCTATCCCAATTATGTATAAATAGCCAAAAATTCCCGATCAAAACCACCCCCATTATCTTTGGAACCACAATTTTCACATGGCATACAAACAATTAAGGTAAGAACTTTACACACAACATACATGCTGTGCTTCAGGACTGTATAGTCAAATACAGAAAAATATTATTTACTTATCAATTATTTAATAATAAACAAAAGAGATAACGCAATATATTTGATATTAACCAAGCAAAGACGTCCTAACGGTTATCAAATGCTAATCAAAAAAATAAGTTATAGTGGATCCCAAAGTATTTACATAAGACAAGTTGCACACCAAGAGCCAAATGAACACAATTACTTGAAATATAGGTGGCAGGTCGGTCGTTTCCAAGGTACAAGAGTGTGCCCCAACCAAAAGTTTATTTACGACTACATATATAACAACAAATCACAGAAAAGCACCATCATTTTTCCACTTGAACAAAAATTTGCCACCTTAAAATTACTATTTTAAAAAATGTCTTTTTTTATGGAATGCTATACCCCCCCTTGCTCACCTTGTGAAAATAACATTAAGTGAATCTTGCCATACCTCCCTATTTAATCTACCTGTTATTAACTAATCCTTGATACTTATTATAATAATCAAATGCCTCTAAAATGCTCCACCACCTTTAGAAAAGAAAAGAAAGAAAAACATTCTGCTTTGGATTTTGATTGTTGTGTGCTAATCATGCTCTTAGCTTTAATCATGGTGACATTTTTATGAAGTGCTCAGATATGTGAAAATTGTTGATTTCTCTTTGGTTAGTTTTCAGATACAAAGTAACCATGTATTTTATTACTTGGGTAAATACATAACTAGAACATATGAACATTCACCAAAAATATTAAATTGCATTGCATTTATACATACAACCCCAAAAACAACCACCTTCTAGAATATGTGAACCTGAGTACTGCGCATTAAGCTTTTACATTTTCACACATTACCCTAAAATATTGTCCTAAAGGAGTTTTTCACGGGAACTGCATTTAATTAATATAACAATAATCTTGAACAATCACACGCTTAATGTTAACACTAAAGTCATATCTGTGAAATGTAATAAACAGCACCTGTTTTCACTATTTATCTAAATATAAAACTGGTAGTGTTTAAGTATCTGGTGTCATAGCATTAGTCTCTTGTGTTTAACAAATTAGCAAGAGGCAGAACTACTGTTTATCTGAATATATATGCACGAAGCAAATAGTCCACCCAGGTCCAATATAAAGGTGCCAAACAGTTGCTTCAAGTATAGAAGTCAGGTCTGTAGCTTCTGCTTTCCAAGGATAGATGTCAGGTCTGTAGCTTTCCCTTGCCAAGAATAGGTGTCAGGTCAGTAATTAAATTTTCTCTCATCTAAGGTGTATTCTGAGCATATACATGTGTCAATAAATTAGTCCAGAACCAGTTTCTCACAGTAACCCAAGCTCCATGATATAGGTGTCAGGTCTGTAGATCTCAATTTCCAAGTATAGATGTCAGGTAAGTCGCCCTCACTTTCTCCCATCTTGGAGAATTCTGAGGATGTAGAGGAAGAGATTGAGGATGTCCAGATACAGGTTGATAGAGGCCAGGATGTACTCCTCAGGAGACAGCTTGTGCATCAACATGTGTGTGTCAAACACGATGAACAGAGAGAAGAGGACAGCCCCTCCAATTGACATCATTCGCTCAAGCATCGGGCTTTGAAAAAAGAACTGAAAAGAAAATAGAATAATCTGTCATTTAAAATGAACATTTAACATTTAAATTTAAATTGCAAGAAAAAACATTCTTAATTAACTGTAAATTCCACTTTTTTGTTAAAAACTAGAAAAAATGAAACAATAAATAAATAAATTAGTGAAATTAATATACGATTCAAATAACACAATCAGATGATCAAAACTATGAAACAGACATAATTTTTATGCAAAAACACCACACTTCTCAATAACAAATAAAAAAATAATGTGCCTGGGAATTTTAAACAAAAGAAAGTTCTTTTTTCTCATATTCCAATGGTAACATACCTGCAAAAAGCCAGCCAAGATCAGAATCCAGAGAACAGAGAACAGGCTGTAAAATAAACATCATCCATTATCTTACTATGACAGAAAATAAGGAGATTCTTGTATAGAAGAAATGATGGACACTCTGTAATCAGTAGTGGAAATCATAGGAAATCACACAATCTGGAGACAAATCTGTCATAATCCAAATACACTGATAATAATGTTCACTCCTTCATGCACTTAATGTGGGAAGAAATATATATTTTTTTCAGTAAAGAAAAAGTGGTAGTGGAATGATCCAAAATTGTTGCAAAACTGTTTCAGTATCATTTCTAAACAAAGAGCATGCTAGATCATAATCAGCCATGCAGCTCCTCTGTCACAGAAATTTCCATTATTATCATTATTTTAAGATAGATAGGGGCATATAATAATCCTAATCACAGACTAAAAACATATCACTATGGGAATAGCTGAAAAACTACTCTGAATACCAATTACAAATACTAGTCTAAGAAAAACATGGTTTTACCCTGGACTAATTGCCAAGAAAATTTAAGTATGCTTTTTTTTTAGTCTTTGTGTAGCCCATGTGATCATATTAAAAATCTAGGAAAATCCAAGTAGTGGAACAGGAATTGTTTGGGAAATAGAACCAATAAGGCATTTGCCCTATAAAACAGTCTAATCAAAGTGATAATTTCTACACATGATATCATTTTACTTTACTAAATCAATCATACTATATTACAGTTATAAATTACAGTTATAAAAATGACAGCCATCACTTTCCCAGCACCCCAGGAACTGAAGTCCTTCTTGCTCTGCTTCTTATCAAACTAATATTTTCTACACATGATATCATTATGCTATATTAAATCAATCATATTATTGCAGTAATAAATCAAAGTTAGAAAAGACAGCAGCAATCACTTACCCAGCACCCCAGGAACTGAAGTCCTTCTTGCTCTGCAGAGTGTAGACAGTGAGAGCAATGACCACGGCACAGGTCAGTCCAAAGGCTTCCAATACCACTCTGACATCATAGAATGTAACTGGAAACAAGGCATTATGGAATACTTAGAGACATATACAACTTCAGGATTATGAATATTATCATCATGCTTTGGGTATATCAACTGGAAAGCTGGGCTGTGGAACAAATAAATTATATACCATGTCTGTTGTCATATTCTTATTAAATTTTGATGGATTAAGAAATTTGGCCTTGCTTTCAGAAAATAATATAACTAAAGATGTCTTTATAACGAATGCACTCACCAATAACACCAACTGAGTATGCCTCTGCTAAGGTCTGTAAGAGAAAAGATGGTAACAATAAAAAGAACTGAATACCTTTCATTATAACAAGGCAACAATATCAAGCTGTGAGATATATTGCTAATAACAAAATATGACGTGGTGAGGTCTAGGGGGCCTGCTTAGGCCAATGCTATTTTTAGTTCCTAAAAAGTCAGAAACTGTCTGTTGTTGGAAAAATCTCGTTCCTTTACACATATACTGTCACGGACATAAATATCTGCAGTTTACATCCACTTATGTCTGTGACAATACTAAAAAAGATATTCACAGAACCATGCAGTAAGAGAACAAACTGAAGCAGTTATCATTGTGGGTACTTACAAAGAGTCCCAGGAGTATATAATTAGCAGGTGTCTCTTGTCTTTTCCACATCAGAGCAAACAGTAAGACAAATGTGCTGATGATGGCCACCAAGACCATCCAGTTACTGAAATGTTTGGAATTCTAAATTATAATGTGAAAGGCAGTGTCATTTACTAGCTACATGTTCTCCTTTAAATCACAGCTTAATCTAAAATAAAAATAATTATCAGTAAAACTTATTATTAGAACTTTTTTCCTCCTGATGTCTGATGATAATGAAAAATACAAAATTTTGCTAATAAAAAGACATAGAAAAAGAAGAAGGAAAATCTTTATGGATTGCAGTTTTAAATAAAGCAGATACAACAAAAACATATTTACTTCTCTCTGACAAATCCCTTCACACTGTCTACGCTGATGAAGAGGGCCCCTGTGAGTGTTGTCAAGACCAGTTGTGCGGCCAAAATACCATACACTTTACGTAGGAATCCTGAAAATACAAGATAGTGTGAGTTACTTAGCCTTTAATAATAACAGTAATAATAACATAAAATTTATAAAATAATTTCTTGAAATAAAAAACTAAGTATTTTTGAAATATAACCAATGAGATCAATCTTTATATAGTTGTGTGCTTACTATAATTTACACTTGCCAAAAGAAACTTTGGTATTGTTTTGTCCATTGTTTACTATAAGTACACTATAGCNGAAAAAGAACTGAAAAGAAAATAGAATAATTTGTCATTTAAAATGAACATTAAACATTTAAATTTAAATTGCAAGAAAAACATTCTTAATTATCTGTAAATTCCACTTTTTTATTAAAAACTAGAAAATAAATGAAACAATAAATAAATAAATAAATAAATAAGTGAAATTAATAAATGATTCAAATAACACAATCAGAAGATCAAAACTATGAAACAGACATAACTTTTATGCAAAAACACCACACTTTTCAATAACAAATAAAAAAAATAATGTGTCTGGTAATTTTAAGCAAAAGAAAGTTCTTTTTTCTCATATTCCAATGGTAACATACCTGCAAAAAGCCAGCCAAGATCAGAATCCAGAGAACAGAGAACAGGCTGTAAAATAAACATCATCCATTATCTTACTATGACAGAAAATAAAGAGATTCTTGTATAGAAGAAATGATGGACACTCTGTAATCAGTAGTGGAAATCATAGTAAATCACACAATCTGGAGACAAATCTGTCATAATCCAAATACACTGATAATAATGTTCACTCCTTCATGCACTTAATGTGGGAAGAAATATATATTTTTTTCAGTAAAGAAAAAGTGGTAGTGGAATGATCCAAAATTGTTGCAAAACTGTTTCAGTATCATTTCTAAACAAAGAGCATGCTAGATCATAATCAGCCATGCAGCTCCTCTGTCACAGACATTTCCATTATTATCATTATTTTAAGATAGATAGGGGCATATAATAATCCTAATCACAGACTAAAAACATATCACTATGGGAATAGCTGAAAAACTACTCTGAATACCAATTACAAATACTAGTCTAAGAAAAACATGGTTTTACCCTGGACTAATTGCCAAGAAAATTTAAGTATGCTTTTTTTTTAGTCTTTGTGTAGCCCATGTGATCATATTAAAAATCTAGGAAAATCCAAGTAGTGGAACAGGAATTGTTTGGGAAATAGAACCAATAAGGCATTTGCCCTATAAAACAGTCTAATCAAAGTGATAATTTCTACACATGATATCATTTTACTTTACTAAATCAATCATACTATATTACAGTTATAAATTACAGTTATAAAAATGACAGCCATCACTTACCCAGCACCCCAGGAACTGAAGTCCTTCTTGCTCTGCTTCTTATCAAACTAATATTTTCTACACATGATATCATTATGCTATATTAAAATCAATCATATTATTGCAGTAATAAATCAAAGTTAGAAAAGACAGCAGCAATCACTTACCCAGCACCCCAGGAACTGAAGTCCTTCTTGCTCTGCAGAGTGTAGACAGTGAGAGCTATGACCACGGCACAGGTCAGTCCAAAGGCCTCCAATACCACTCTGACATCATAGAATGTAACTGGAAACAAGGCATTATGGAATACTTAGAGACATATACAACTTCAGGATTATGAATATTATCATCATGCTTTGGGTATATCAACTGGAAAGCTGGGCTGTGGAACAAATAAATTATATACCATGTCTGTTGCCATATTCTTATTAAATTTTGATGGATTAAGAAATTTGGCCTTGCTTTCAGAAAATAATATAACTGAAGATGTCTTTATAACGAATGCACTCACCAATAACACCAACTGAGTATGCCTCTGCTAAGGTCTGTAAGAGAAAGGATGGTAACAATAAAAAGAACTGAATACCTTTCATTACAACAAGACAACAATATCAAGCTGTAAGATATAATGTTACTTAATAAAATATGATGTGGTGAGGTCTAGGGGGCCTGCTTAGGCCAGTGCTATTTTTAGTTCCCAAAAAGTAAGAAACTGTCTGTTGTTGGAAAAATCTCGTTCCTTTACACATATACTGTCACTGACATAAATATCTGCAGTTTACGAGGTATCCTTCATTCCACTGTGACTGTCCATCCACTTATGTCTGTGACAATACTAAAAAAGATATTCACAGAACCATGCAGTAAGAGAACAAACTGAAGCAGTTATCACTGTGGGTACTTACAAAGAGTCCCAGGAGTATATAATTAGCAGGTGTCTCTTGTCTTTTCCACATCAGAGCAAACAGTAAGACAAATGTGCTGATGATGGCCACCAAGACCATCCAGTTACTGAAATGTTTGGAATTCTAAATTATAATGTGAAAGGCAGTGTCATTTACTAGCTACATGTTCTCCTTTAAATCACAGCTTAATCTACAATAAAATTAATTAAATCAATAAAACATATTATTAGAACTTTTTTCTTCCTGATATCTGATGAAAATGAAAAATACACAATTGTGCTAATAAAAAGACAAAGAAAAAGAAAAAGAAGAAGGAGGAGACTCTTAGTGGATTGCAGTTTTAAATAAAGCATATACAACAAAAACATATTTACTTCTCTCTGACAAATCCCTTCACACTGTCTACGCTGATGAAGAGGGCCCCCGTGAGTGTTGTCAAGACCAGTTGTGCAGCCAAAATACCATACACTTTACGTAGGAATCCTGAAAATACAAGATAGTGTGAGTTACTTAGCCTTTAATAATAACAGTAATAATAACATAAATTTTATAAAATAATTCCTTGAAAAAAAAAAAATAAGTATTTTTGAAATATAACCAATGAGATCAATCTTTATATAGTTGTGTGCTTACTATAATTTACACTTGCCAAAAGAAACTTTGGTATTGTTTTGTCCATTGTTTACTTTAAGTAGATCAATGTTTGGAACAAGAGGATGGGGATTATTTATGTATATGTATTTAAGCAAAAAATACTTGTGCAAGTCAAGACATAACAATACTTGTAGCCAGGCAAAGTGAGTAAATAAATCACATTAAATGTTTTATTCTTATTACTTTTGTTATTCTAACTCATTCCCTTTTTACCTCATTATCATTTTAATGTCATAATTTATTCATCTTTTATTCACTAATACAATATTTTATTTTAAGCATGTGCAGTTAACATGTTTTACACTCTTTAAATTAAGTTTATTATTATTATTATTATTATTTTAAACCACCTGTCTAAAATTTAATAGGGGATTTCCATAATATCGTCAAAATTCCCCTACTAGTACTTTCACTTTCTACTGAACGGCTTTACTGAAGTTAATGCATAAACGGTTAAACCACGGCAAATATTACATTACAGTTCTAAGTGAAATGCACACCTTTAATTTTAATACTCACCCATGCGTATATAGACATGAGACTGGGCAACGTTAGAGCCGTACATGAAGTCATCTTCTATACTAGCATGCTTGCCTTGGCCCGACGAATTCAAGGTCGCCATTTTCTCACTTGTATTTTTCTCCCTTTCTTAGTTTCTACAAAATATTCTAGCTGCGTCCCAAGGTAGCACGTGTATCTCTATTTCATGAGGAATAAACTGATAACAGGTGTTTGTCTTTTTGTCTCTGTGTCTTCAGTTTATCAGCTGTGAATCTCGCTATTCGACGCTCAATATGTTATTACGTGCAACTTCTTCCCGGAAGCTAGTTGGAATGGGCAAGTAATATCAATCGATACTAACATGGTTCGACCAAGAAAATAGAGTCATTAGGCCCCTATTTACTATTTTCATGGATGATAAAAGTAAAGTTTAGATGAACACTCAATTTTTTTTTGTGAAGTCTCTCCAATAATTTGCTTTCACCTTTCTTAGAAAAAACATGTCTCACTTTCTAATTGCATTATCAATTAAGCCTTATTCATGTATTTTGCACAGGCCTATAGACGGCCTTTGAAATCCCAGTTGACTCATTTAAAAATGAATATGAAATAAAAAATCGATTTCTTCACTCATGGATATACTGTACCTTAAAATACCCTATTGTTTACAGCAGACCAGACTCCCTTCAAATAATCCTGGATCCGCCCCTCTATTTTCACAAATTCCATGTTGCGTACAGGTAGTTTTGGGTATTTTGTCTAGGTTCAGAGGCCCTAGGTAACCCCCTGCCCCCCACTTTTATACGTGACGGGGTTCAATCTACAGTTTTCTCGTGGAAATTGAGGGGGTGGGGTGGGGTGGGGTGGGGTGAGGGGGTGAGGGGAAGAGTTCGGAAAACCATAACCCCTCCCAGTGCCGACGGCTGTCCTTAGTTCTTTTAAGGCATAATATGGCACGAATATACTAGAACTCTCACTTAATAACCATTATTAACAAAAAAAAAACATTAAGTACCGCCTATACCTGTGTCTATGCCCCCTACTAGAGAAAACATGAGTTGACAAATGAGTAGTAGGCCCCTACGAGATTTGCTCACGAGCTCACACGAGCGTCAAATTTATATATCTCTATTTATATCATGTAAACCACCGTTTATCAAACTTGCCAGCGAAATAGCAACTTATTTTCTATTTAGTAACACATGTAGAGCATGGTGATTTAATATAGCTTCCAAAACTATTTTTGTAAAGATTATTATGCTATCACTAAAATGCTACAGCCAATTTTTATCAGTTATGACTGTACAGTGGCCTAGTTGTAGTACAAATATAAACAGCACAAATTTCTAAATATGCAAGTATACTGCTCAGAAACCAAAATCAAATAATAAATATATCAATACAATCGCTACTCCCGCCTTATGTGTCATTTATAGGGAAAATCACCCTTTTCACCTGACAAGGGATGACACGTAGAAAGTGTGCGTTTAACCACATCATGTTAAAATGGCGAGTGGTGTGATTTAGATAAGAACTGACCAGAAACGTGTGCAGCTGATACAGAGGATGATATAAAATACCTCAGCTTAGCTTATTGTTTCAATTGGACTGGACTGTGGCGAAGTGTACATATTCCCAAGGTACAGTTTACGTTTACCTCATAACCTGGAACGCCTCTTGAAATGCTCTTGGTGTAGACCAGCAAATTTCGTTTCTCTTCATTGAATCAACTCAGGTTTATGGACGTTGCGCATGATTTAGATAAATTCTTTGTATGATTTAATTTCAGTATGAAAGAGACTTCTTTTCGTGCCTTTTGTTATATATGATTTACTTTTTGTGTTTTATGTAGCTAAGCGTCATTACTTTCGAAATCNCAAGACGAACAATACCGATCATAGGTGGACAGCTAATAACCCCTAATTAACCCCGGGTTACGCGCTGCTGTGTTGACTCCTTGCTGGGAAGGGGTAGCGGCCTCCTACTGCTGTGTGTAATCAAACATTGTCTTCTAACATGCGGCTACACGACGGTTGCATTGTATTAATAAAGTAATACCTATTCATAAGGAAGGGGGCAGATGGTAATCTTAAGAGAATTAAATCAGTTATCGATCATTGTATTAATAAAGTAATACCTATTCATAAGGAAGGGGGCAGATGGTAATCTTAAGAGAATTAAATCAGTTATCGATCATACGCGTACCAATAGTCGTGTTTTTTTTTAGCTATACGGTAGATCAATGTTTGGAACAAGAGGATGGGGATTATTTATGTATATATATTTAAGCAAAAAGTACTTGTGCAAGTCAAGACATAACAATACTTGTAGCCGGGCAAAGTGAGTAAATAAATCACATAAAATATTTTATTCTTATTACTTTTGTTATTCTAACTCATTTTCTTTTTACCTCATTATCATTTTAATGTCATAATTTATTCATCTTTTATTAATCAACACAATATTTTATTTTAACCTCCCATAAGCGTGTGCAGTAAACATGTTTTACCCTCTTTAAATAAAGTTTATTATTATTATTATTATCTTAAACCACCTGTCTAAAATTTAATAGGGGATTTCCATAATATCGTCAAAATTCCCCTACTAGTACTTTCACTTTCTACTGAACGGCTTTACTGAAGTTAATGCATAAACCACGGGAAATATTACATTACAGTTCTAAGTGAAATGCAAACCTTTAATTTTAATACTCACCCATTCGTATATAGACATGAGACTGGGCAACGTTAGAGCCGTACATGAAGTCATCTTCTATACTAGCATGCTTGCCTTGGCCCGACGAATTCAAGGTCGCCATTTTCTCACTTGTTTTTTTCTCCCTTTCTTAGTTTCTACAAAATATTTTTGCTGCGTCCAAAGGTAGCACGTGTATCTCTATTTCATGAGGAATAAACTGATAACAGGTGTTTGTCTTTTTGTCTCTGTGTCTTCAGTTTATCAGCTGTGAATCTCGGTATTCGACGCTCAATATGTTTACGTGCAACTTCTTCCCGGAAGCTAGTTGGAATGGGCAAGTAATATCAATCGATACTAACATGGTTCGAGTCATTATTTACTGTATTTTCATGGATGATAAAAGTCAAGTTTAGATGAACAGTCAAGTTTTTTTGTGTGAAGTCGCTCCAATAATTTGCTTTCATCTTTCTTCGAAAAAACTTTCTAATTGCATTATTCATTAAGCCTTATATTTTGCAAACAGTGTAGACGGTCTTAAGAATCCCAGTTGACTCATATAAAAATGAAAGAAAAAATCGATTTCTTCACTCATGGATATACTGTACCTTAAAATATCCTATTGTTCACAGCAGACCAGTCTTTTATATAAAACCGGACCCCACTTCAAATAATCCTGAATCCGCCCCTCTATTTTCACAAATTCCATGTTGCGTAGTTTTGGGTATTTTGTATAGGTTCAGAGGCCCTAGGTGACCCCCCCCCCCCTGCCCCCCACTTTTATACATGACGGGGTTCAATTTACAGTTTTCTCGTGCAAATTGAAGGGATGAGGGGAAGAGTTCGGAAAACCATAACCCCTCCCAGTGTCGACGGCTGTCCTTAGTTCTTTTAAGGAATAATATGGCACGAAAATATATACTAGAACTCACATTTAATCACCATTATTAAGAAAAAAACAAAAAAACATTAAGTACCGCCTATATCTGTGTCTATGCCCCCTACTAGAGAAAACATGAGATGACAAATGAATAGTACGAGATTTGCGCACATGAGCTCACACGAGCATCAAATTTGTAGGCCCTATAGCCTATCTCTATTTATACTGTAGGCCTATCATGTAAACCACCGTTTATCAAACTTGCCAGCGAAATAGCAACGTATTTTCTATTTAGTAACACATGTAGAGTAGGGTGATTTAATATAGCTTCCAAAACTATTTTTGTAAAGATTATTATGATATCATTAAAATGCTAGCTACAGCCAATTTTTATCAGTTTTGACTGTGCAGTAGCCTAGATGTAGTACAAAGTTAAGCACCACAAATTTCTAAATATGCAAGTATACTACTCACAAACCAAAATCAAATAATAAATATATCAATACAATCGCTACTTCCGCCCTCTGTGTCATTTATAGGGAAAATCACCCTTTTCACCTGACAAGGGATGACACGTAGAAAGTGTGCGTTTAATCACATCATGTTAAAATGGCGAGTGGTGTGATTTAGATAAGAACTGACCAGAAACGTGTGCAGCTGATACAGAGGACGATATAAAATACCTCAGTTTAGCTTATTGTTTCAATTGGACTGGACTGTGGCGAAGTGTACATATTCCCAAGGTACTGTTTACGTTTACCTCATAACCTGGAACGCCTCTTGAAATGCTCTTGGTGTAGACAAGCAATTTTCGTTTCTCTTCATTGAATCAACTCAGGTTTATGGACGTTGCGCATGATTTAGATAAATTCTTTGTATGATTTAATTTCAGTATGAAAGAGACTTCTTTTCGTGCCTTTTGTTATATATGATTTACTTTTTGTGTTTTATGTAGCTAAGCGTCATTACTTTCGAATTCTATTGTTTTTAAAATTATGTAGGTATGCCTTTTTTTTTTTCTCTGTAAGTTTGTTTGTTAGCACTTTACAGGTTGTAATTTTGATCACATCACTTCCATTTTTTTCTCCTGAAGAGATATCCGAACAAGGATTTTTTTTTTTTTGGGGGGGGGG